ATATATATATTTGGTTGATAATCATAGGTACATTTTTCTATCTAATCTTGGACGTGAGTGCTCTTTACCAATATGCTCAGTCAGTCATGCCACACCCACACTTTACATAAGAGAATTTTCGCTTTTCATAAAGTGGGTGAGATTTCACTCAACTCCCTCTTAACCTAGAGGACTACTATGGCAAGTTCAGTGACACTAGCTATTATACGGGCCGAATGCTAAAGAGCAGACATTCTTCTTTATACATATATTGATGAATCTTAACTAATAAAGTATCAACAGATTATGTTTACTTCTAATTTTTTCGAGGAAGACATATTCTTACCGTTCTTTTCGAATTTGCACAATTTTTGTTCGATCATTACATGTTAAAACAGCATGATCACCATCTTTAAACGTTGCCATCTACAAAAAAAACCACGTAATCATATATTACTATTTATCAGTAGAAAAATAAGCATAGAAAAATATTTATTAAAAAAAAACATACATGTATATACAATTTAAACAATAAAATGTCAGAACTAATTTTAAATTCACTTTAAAAAAATATGTTTAGTATAAATAAAAATAAAACATTCGTTTTTTGTTAGATATAAATTACTGTTTGATTGCACTTTGTTCAACAATATGATATTCAATTTTCATTGAATGAATGATATTAAAAGTTCATAGAGAATAATTTAGTAGAAATATTTGAGAAAAGAAAACATTAAAAGAACAATATTTGAAAAATAAAAACAAAACAAAGCGACTAGTAAAAAGAAACAGACATATATCTTTTAGTGTATATTTATTATTAGAAAATATCTTTAACGAGTTGTTGCTTTAGCGAAAACATCACTAATTGCTTGAAGAATAATATAAACTGCATAAGCTCCAGGATCAATCACTTGTGTATCAACGGATTTTGTATATGACGCTCGACCAACTTTTGCAATAAGATTTTTTGTATCATATGCAGCTTTTTCAGCAACTGTAGCTAATTCTTTCCAATCTTGTGATGTAAAACCGTGTTGTTCACGTTTTGATTTAATAAAATCAACAGTTGGAATAAGTGTATCTAGTAAACTTTTATCTCCTGGTTGTACACGTGCATATGATTCAACTGATTGTATACCAGCTTCAAATGCATCACTGAAACTATTCATTATTACACCCGATGGAATAGATAATAGTAAATTTTTTGCAACTGCAGCAAAAAATAGACCACAGACTAAAAAAAAGATAAATATTGAATAAAATACTTTTTTTGTCATTTTTTTCCTTACTTGCTCCACATGTACCACCCATTCGACTTTCAGCAATAAGACCAAGACGACGAAAAAGTGATGATGGTCGATCTAATGCTAATTTTTCATTTGCAAGATCTTGTGCAATTGTATCAGCTGCTCGAGCGAATGCTGTACCTGTATCACCATCACCATATACAGCATCTAATCGATTAAGTTTATCTGTTTCATTATGAAGTTTTTTAACAACTGCATGTAATGCTTGATTAATTAATTCAGCAAGAGGTGGATCCAATAATAAATGAGATTCACTAGAAGAAAGAAATTTCTTTTCTCTATTTATTTCAAAAAGAAAAATGTTTACTTAATTACTAGTTGTGTACTAAATTGTTCATTAAATTCAAGTGAATCTGATAATGTTTGAATACTAGTTGATAATTGTGTTGGACTAATTATTTTTGGCCAAGCAAAAGCTTCAGTTGGTGAATCAAGTAAATTCAATATAGTTGTACTCATATCTGTTGTTAATTTAAGTAATGTTAATGAAAAACCTTTCATATTAAATGATGTCATCAATTCACCACATATAACACGTTTAACATGTAATGCACGATGCTCTAAATTTTCAATAGCATCTTTAAGGATAATGCCTAATTCAAGATTTGAACAACCACCTAGAGATAAATAAAATAATAAATTAGAAAGATTAAAACTCATTAAAAAACAACAAACCAAGATTGTTTACAAGTAGAAGTACATTATCATCTCGTTTAACCCCTAAGGCACGTGTACCACGAATAAGTTGACCAAATGCTAGATCTATAGCTTGTCGTGAAGGTAAAAGTTTTAATTTTTGTACACCACTTTCACCATGAATACCCATACCAAGTTCCATTTCATCTTCAAATAACTAAATTTAATAATATAAGAAATTGATTTTTATCTAAACAAATTCTACTTCAAATGCTTGTTGTTGACCAGGTGCTCGAATACCAGAAGCAGATAATCCAATAGTACGAAGTTGGCCTCGAACTTTTTGACATACATCAACAATTTCACTCATATTTTTACCTTGTTCAGCTAATGCACCTGCAATTTTGATAACTAATAATAATCCAGCTAAACCTCGAGGTCTAATAAAAGATAAAAATATCTCATCAATGATTAATCAAATTTCTTTTTTTTCTTATTTCTCTACCCAATAGAATTATTAACAGCAGCATCATCAGCTACAACTAACATATCAATATCAATAGATAATTCTCGAGCACGTTCCATAGCTAAACCAAAATTAAGTCGATCTCCGGTGTAATTTAAAATAATTAAAAGTATTTGTTTAGCACCACGACGTTTCATTTCAATAATAAGTCGAAATATATCAGATGATGGTGGTGATGCAAATATTGAACCCGATATACCTATAAATAAAAACTGTAATTATTTATTTAAAACAAAATTCTTTTACAAGCGCTTAATAATCCACGACCAACAAAACCGACCTAAATAATTAATTGTCAATTTAATATATTTTTTCTATTTAATTCTTACCGTAGCTGGTTCATGACCAGAGCCACTTCCACTAATAACAGCTACTGATGGAACTTGTGATCGTGTAATAACAGCTCGACCTACTAATTCCAAATGACTATGTGCACGAACATAACCAGTAAGTGAATCATCTACACATGAATTTATCTCGTTTATAAAATATCCCGGCATCTGAAAGTATAAAGTTTTTTTTTTAAAATATAATGCTGTTCCATAGAAAATCAGTTTTTCTTTTTTTTTAATATGGAGAAGAAAATCCCGCTGGTGCATTTTTATTATTTGAATTTTGCACGCATAGATAAAGAAATCTTTCACCCATATGTTCCGGACTAACTAATTTCTCCACAGCAGTTAGAATTTCTTTTTGTTCTTCCGGTGTTTTGTTTTTAGCAAGTGTCTAAAATAAGAATATTGATATAAAAATTTGAAGAAAAAGAAATCTGTTACTGATGCTCGTATATCAATGCCTAGATTGTAAAGAAAATTTCGTTGAGAAACTGGTCCATAGAATTGAACTATAAACAAATATATTGTCTTTTTTTTGTTAAATTTAAAACAATTTCTTACCATTTGCTATTTGTGAACCACTTAAAGCTAATTCTTCAAAATCAACATCTGCTGTTATATCAATATTTCCTGGATCTGATAGTGGATCAACAACTGTATGTTTATGAAATCCCTATTAAAAGGAAGTATTTATACGTTTGATTTTTTATCATATGTACATACACGAAATGTATCTTCTTTTTCTCCCCAATGACCGTAATCTCCTATTAAAGCTGATCCACCATTATTTGATATATGTTTACATATAGCCTGCATCATGACTGAACGTTGTGGACTGATTTCTACATGTTGTCTATCATCGATACTACTAAGAAACTAGAGAAAACATAAAATATTATTTCATTTCCTATTTAATATGAAAATATACATTATTATAAAGTCGACTCATCGCTGTTTGTCTTGCAGATAAAACATATTGAAGTTGTTTTGTTAGTGGATTCCAATCAATCATAATTTCTTTCCAACCTTGTACAGTTTTCTTTTAATTATAAGAAAAGGTAACTAAAGATAGTTATATTAAATGATTTCTTTACTTGAAATTTATGAATAGGATAAGCATCAAAGAGTTCATTGGTAATAAAATAGGTAGTACGAGATTGTAATTGTTTAAGATCATCTATCCATACAAGTGAATAATTAATATCAGGTATTCGATATTCATTTGTAATTATAGGATCAAACTTTTTGAAAATAAAAATTACATTTTATAAATTTAGTTTTTTTAATTACCGATCGATTTAATAATAATTCAGCTTGACGACGTCGCATAAGTGGACTAGCTTCATACAAAGCAATAAATGTATGTTTATCAGAATATTTTCGCTTTCTTAATACCTTAAAAACTAAAGATTCTTTTTTTTATGAATAAAATACAACTTACTCGAATAATATCATTCATCAATGTACCACGACCAGGTCCCAATTCTACTAATTGTAAATCATTACCACCATTTGTTGAATGTTCATACATAAGCCATATAGCTAATAACTAATTTATTTCAATCAAAAAATCAGTTAATGATATAAACATCGTACTTCACCAAATATCTGACTAATCTCAGGTGCTGTGATGAAATCGCCTTTTTTTCCGAACACTTCATGTCGTGTGTAATAACCCTAAAAGAATAAATGATAGTAGCCAGATTGTTTTCATTACTAGTCTCAAAGCAAGCAAAAGAAGAAAGAAATATATAACACACACATATTTTGGATTCAATAATGATTCACGCATAAATTCAGCCACTGTTATAGGTCCACCAGTTTTAATCCTTGATGATAATTCTTTAACTAATCCATTGGTATCTGATGTAGACCATGATGTTGAATTAACTGATGATTTTTTGATATTATCTGATGAGGAAATATTAGTAGATTCGTTTGATGTATTTGATTGATAACGACAAGAAGATAAACAATAGACATGTCGTAGAAAAGTATATGGAACCTGACGAATTGAAAGCATCTAAAAATGAATTTCATACTTACATAAATAATTGCTTTTGGTTAATCTCTTGTACACATTGGATAAGTTTCAATTATTATATTGTACTCTCATCAATGATAAAGAAGTAAAACTGCAACCTCCATGTTCTATATTTTTTTCCCTCTTATTTGTTAATGTCTTCCTATATTTGTGTAGTTAGTGGGCGCTGCGTATATATATATATTGCACTCTCTCTTAAATCAAAGAGAGATATAGATAAAGATTAACCGTTAGTAGAGTAACTTTTTTTTTTACTGCGTATATTAGTTAATACAAGTAATCATCGTTGTTATATGTTAAGAATAAAATATTTGATGTCTACCTTATAACCTACAGTATTTATAGTGACATTAATATAATCATTCAAGAATATATATCTAATCTCGCTAAGAACGTTGACAAATTACAAAAACAATCGTACTGTAATGATTGACATATAGAAAAATGTCTTATTTTACATACTCTCTCATTCTTTCTCGACAATCAATTCGTGTTATTATTGATCCGTAAAAATCAAATACTAAATAAAATCTTCTAATGAATTGAATCTACTAAAATTGATCTCTTATAGATCAAACAACCATTTTTGTTATTCTACTTGAAAAAGCATATTAGTTTTCTATATTGCATGATGACAAGATCAGAAATATATATTCAGTATTAGACAGCAGTAAATGAGGTATACTATCTTTCATGTATATCAATCTACATAGGCGCCCCGCTCGTCTATCTACCCACATTGTTTCTTCTCTTTAACATCTCTGACATTGAGATTAAAATATATATCCTCGTATGTCACGTGTCAACACTTTACGTATATATATATACTTATTCACAAATAGATAAAAATTTCTATCAAAAAATGAATTTTTTATATTTTAAATCTGTTTAAAGACAAATATTATGTATTTGTTATTATCTGAAAAATAAAGATAATTTATGACCAAAAGAATTGAATAATCAGCAACAAAAAAATAAGTAGTACAGAGTTTTTTTTATTGATTTGTTGAATCAAATACTAATGTTGTACCATCAGATGGTACTTTTTGTGGTTTTAAATTAACCCAAGGATCTTCTAACATATTTGAACGAAAAAATCCTTTAAAATTACGATCAGAATAATTAGTCGTAGTTGATTGATATGAATTATTATCTGATTCTCGATTTTGTGGACGATATCCACCACCACGTTTATTGTATGAATATCGACCCCGTTGTTGAAATTCTATAATAAAAAAAACTACTTATCTAAAAGACTGTATAATAATTAAAAACTAACCTCCATGTTGACGTATTCGAGGATTTGATGTTGGATAAGGACCTTTAAATGAACAACAATAATTTAATTATGAAAATATAATTTATTAATATAAAATGTACCTTGATAATGACCTTGTGCTCGAAAATGAGATGAAGAATCTTGCCATGATGATGGATTGGAATTAAATGGTTGATAAGAATCGAGGGATTCAGTTGGTGGTAATCCTTGAGAGTTTATATTTGGATCCATAATTAATGATAAACTGATGCAATAATTTATTATTAATCAATGATAAACTTTTTTTCGAAACATGAAATTTATTCGAAAAAAAAACTAATCTAGAGAAAGAAAAATTGATGGATATTAATCATTGGTTGATTTATAATCGAAAGAGAATAGATGAATGCGACATCTCAACGGTCGTTGCCTAGTTTCAAATATATGAAATGGCAATAATAAAAATTTTCATTCAGAGCAAACAATAACTTAAATATTAAGTTATTTATTTCTCAATGGCTGTACGTGCACATCGACTACAATCAGCTAAACCTCTCACACTTTCACGATGGTTTGATACATAAATGCTATTTAATATATATTTTAAATAAGATCTTTCTATTTTATTCAGGTGGTCAAGTGGTTACCATGGTCAACCGATTGCTTTTGCCGATCCAACAGTTATTTTCTATGCTATTGATGATGGTTTACGTTTTCATGATTTCCTCGATGAAGACTATCCAAAATCTCAAACATTTCAAGCAAATGGAATTGGTGTTGGAGTGATCGTATGTTTCTTATTTTGTAATAAAAATAAACTATCTGAATATTTTCTTTGAAGGCTGGCAATGCTGATACACATTTATTTGCATATGCTGATTATCAAAAATCACCTATAATTCATTTACATGAATATCCATCATTAAACGAAATAAAACAATTTAAAGGTGGAGCTGAATTTGAATATACTGCTTTGGAATTTTCTGCAACTGATGAATTATTATCTTTATCAACTGCACCAGATTATTTATTAACAATTTGGAATTGGCGTACTGGAATAAAATTAGCACAATGTGAAACAACAAAAAAACAATTAGTAGAAATAAGTTTTAATCCAAACTCTTGGTTTGATATTGGAATACTTTATAGTGATCAAATTAATTTTTATACATGTGAACGACGTAGTGATAAATATGTTTTATTTGAAAGACAATTACCTTTAGAATTATTTAATCAAACTATTGCTCATAATCAACCAACACATCAACAAACAAAAAAAGAACAATCAGATTCAGTTAACAGTATGAAAAACAAAATAATAGAACGTTTCTTTTTCTTTTAATATAATATTTTAGTTGCTGATGTTATTCGACATTTTCCAAGTCGATTTTCATTTACATTAGTCGATAGTACGATTGGAATTGATCAAGGAACAAGTGTAAAACTTGTCGGTATGTATATACTCGATTAATTTTCTCTAGATATGATAATATCTTTCTTTTTTTTCTAGCATTTGATACTGAAAATGAAGAAGCTTTTCAAACATATATCGATGAAAAAATTGAACATGTTGCTACATCATTTTGTTGGGGTGATAAAGGTTATGTATTTATTGGTACAGCTGCTGATTCTCTTATTCAAGTTGTTTTACAATTTGATCGTGATAGACAACCATTTCGTACAACACATTTTGCAGATGAATCAACAATGAAAGCACAAGGTTCAATTGGAATGTTTAAAAAAATGGGTTTACATCAACATGGTCTATTTTGTGCTGGTGCAGATAGTATAATTCGTTTAATAACATTTGAAAATCAAGATGCTACATTACAAGAAGCTACGAATGTTAACGATATTATAGAATTAAAATCAAAATTAAGTTCAATAAAATTTAATCAAAATTATACAAATTTATTTATTTGTTCGACAAAAGGTATTAATATAATTGATTTATTAACCATGGAACAAAAACCAGTTGTAATTGTTCCAACTGCACTTGGAAAAATAGTTGATGTGACAATTCTTAGTCCTGCAAGTGAATTAGTTATAACAGTACGAGATACTGGTGCTTTAGAAGCTTGGTCAATATCTGATGGATCAAGAAAATATTTTACACAAATTGATAATGCAAAAATTAGTCATGTAGTTGCAAGTCCAGTTTTACCTTTAATTGTTGTAACATCGACAACAGGTATATTTTATGTTTTTGAAATCCATAACGATGGTTTCCGTCTTATACATCGTGTTCGTGTTCATTCAAATGATGTACGTTGTATTAAATTTAATTCACGTGGTACATTACTTGTATCAGCTGGTATTGATAATAGTTTATTTTTTATGGAAATTAAAAGTGAAGAAACATCAGCAGAAGATATATTTCAAATAATTTATCGAACTGATCTTGATGGTGAACCATTTGCACTTGATTTAGATGAATTTGATAATCAACGAAATAATAGTACTGATTCGAATGAACCACATGCAGATAATGATGATGAACATAATGAGCATTATAAAGATAAATTAAATGAGACGAGAATTATGGTTGCATTAACAACAAAAACAGAAAAACATGGAAGATTTCTGATTATTGATTTTGATTGGCAACAACATCGAGGTAAAAAAAAACAAATTAAATTGAATTAATTTATATTTAATTTAAATAGAAAGTCGTGCTGCATCATTAGGCGATTATTTTATAAATGATTCAACAACAAAAATAATTACAAAAACATTCTTTGCAATTCATGAAACAATCGAAGATTTTCTTATCACAGCTAAAAATCAATTAATTACAATGGGTGGAAAAACTTTACGAATGTGTCGTATACCTGAAGAAAGTGGCAAGGTAAAAAGAATCTTTTCAAATCGATTGATATATATATACACATGCATAAACAGAATAAAGTTGAACGACGAGGACGACGAGGCGTGAGAATATACAATTTTTGCACATTGCTATTCTATGCTCTGATATGATTTATTTAATGTTTAATGATTGATATACATTGATTATTTTCTTATACAGGATTTAAAAAATCGTCGATTAAAAACAAAACGAGATGTATAATAGAAAAATTGATTTTTGCTTTTATTATTTTTTAAATTAATTCTTTTCGATAGACATATATCTTATTTGTTTAGTTGGGAAAATTAATTAGCGTTGAAGCACAAGACTCACTTGCTGGTTTACCTTCTGCTGGTGGTCATTTATACAAAAATAAAGCAATACCATCATGGATTATTGGAATGAGTCGTGATGGAATTATGTCAATTATTCGTGCTTCGAATATGGTACTGATTTTATTGAAAAATATTTATGAATAATCTTTGTTTTTCTCTTTTAAAGGCAGTGGAATCATCAATACCAGCACATACTTTACTTTCAGGTGGCTGTCATAAATCTGCTTGGAGTGTTGATTCAAAATATATTGTTTCAATTGCTGAAGATAGTTCAATTGCTGTTTATCAAACAAAGTACTTTGAAATTTAATCAATAGAATAAATAATATCAAAATTCGATTTTAGATATGCTGGTAGACTTACGTCACGTGGTGGTCATGCATCAGATGATTATAATCGTAAAATGAGAAATTTAACACATCTTACAAGTTTTAAAAATACACGATCAAGTTTATTTGAACGTATTCATGATCGATTTGTAAGTAACTTAGCTTTGTTTTTTTCTATATTTATTCAAATTTTCTGTATGTATAGAAAGATTATGAAACGAAATTTCAAGAAGTTAATATGACACCACCATCACCACCGAAAGAAGATTCATCATGGACACAATTAAAAGAATATGAAGTTTGTTAATTATTTTTATTCAAAGGATTTAATATTAAAAAAAATGTTTACTTTCAGACGACATTACAAAATCTTGATGCACATTTAACATCGAAAATTGAAATTCGTAATGAACTTGATCATATACGACAAGAAGTATGACTTTTGTTTTATTGTATTTAAAAAAACTACATTTTATATTATATAGATTCGTGATTTAATGACAGTTAATGATAAACGAGAAGATAAAGCTCGACTTGATCAACGAGAATTCGATTTAGATAGTGAAGAACAAGAAAGACAACGTAAAGAAAGAGATGCTATGGTTGTTAAAGTATGTTAATAATTTTATATTTTTTTCTTAATAATTAAATACATTATTTTATAAAAAAAAGGTGCGTGATGAAACTATAACAGAAAATCTTAAACGCCTTATGAAACGTGAAGTTATTAAACAACAATGTTGGGATGCAATGACAGTAAAAGGACGATGTATTGAGGTACTTTCCTCTGATTATATTCTAATGAATTAATCTTCTTATTTAATTTAGGGTATTGTAAATCCAAATCGTAAACAAGTTACACCAATTGCTGTTGAAAATTACCCATTAGTACCACGTAGTCTTGATGAATTAGAATATATTCGTCAAGTTATTGAACGACGACGTATTGAAATTGGAGAAAGAAAAATTCGACGACAAATTTTAACAGAAAATTCCAATGCACAAGAAGCTAAACGTGAAGAACCAGCAGTAGGAGAAAATGATGAAGAACAACGTGAACAAATTAAACAATCCACTGCTTTACTTGGTTCTGTTAGTAATGAATTTCAAGTTGATACATCTGTACTCTATAGTCAATTTGAATTATATACTCATGAACAAAAATGGACACAGATTGTTTTAATAAATGATTTAATCTATAAAATCAAAGAAGCATTTAATAAAGAATTTGAGAATATCTATCAACGTAAATCACAAGAATTAGCTAAAATTCGTGAACGAAATATACGTATTAAACAAATCAATTCAGATTTAGATGATACAACACCTGTTTGGGAACCAGATTTAACTGAAAAAGAAAAACCACAATTATTATTTGAAGTTAAAGATAGTGAGGTATGTTATTTACAAATGAAATATACTAGTGATCATAAGTCTCTGTATGACTATTTAAGATTAAAGTGGAAAGATATTATACACCGGAACAATTAAGATTATTAGAAGAACAACGACTGAATGAAGAACGTCGACGTGAAATGGAAAGACTTGATAATTGGCGTGAACGTGGTCTTATTGATATGATGAATGGTGTTTTACAAGTTCGACGAGAAGATGAATTGAAAAAGGAAATTCCTAAACCAGCATTTGCACTTGAAAAACCTGAAGAAGAATGGACAGAGACAGAAAAACAAGCTTATCAACAATATTTACAAAAAGTTAAAGAACAACAAGAAGAAAGAGAAAAATTACGAAAAGTTTGTATTAATTAAAATTAAGAATTTTAACTCTACCCAATATAAATATTAGGTTTTAACTGCTGAATCAAGTAAAATCAATGAACAAATTACAGAAAGTTGTCTAGCATTTGATCAAGTCTTATCACAATTACATCGAAGACGTATTACAGCTCAAACAGCAGTTATTGAAGTATATCGATTTGAAATAAACGAACAAAAAAAATCTATATCGATTTTTATTTTTAGGAAGAATTAAAAATTAGTCGTATAGTATATTCTTTAGTTAAAGACCAACTTATTGAAGAATTAGAACAAATATATGAAAATCGTGCTAAATTAGTCGAAACTAAAGTTCAAGAACTTGAACTTTCAAAACGTGCTTTGGAAGATGCTGTTGTTAAAGTTGATGCTGAAAAACGACAATTAAAATCGGAAGATACATTTGATAAACAATTTCCTCGTGAATTTGCTGATGTTCCATCAACATTACAGGATCCACTTAAACGTTTATTAGCTAAACGAGCGAAGTAAAAAATACACAAATTTTATTTTCTTAAAATCTTTATTTTCAATTCTAGAGTTAAACAAGCTAAAACAGCAGATGATTTAAATCCGTATTCAGCTCGGCAAATGCGTTTAATTGAACTTGAACTTGAGAGAATACAAGCAGAAGCTGATGCATTTACAAATGCACCACCAAATATTGTTCGAACTGTTTGGGAACGTTTTGTTGATTTTCGAAAAAAACGTACCGAACTTGATCGAGAAGTAAGTCAATACAATTCTTTTGAAATCTAATCTTATCAGAATAAAAAACCATAATGAACTATATTTTCCAACTACACTATAATAATTGAATATAGTTCAAATATTAGATAATGAATAGAACAACAATGCTTCTAGCTTTATGGTAGAATATTGCACTTAGCATCTATTCAAAAGCATGCAATACCTTGTAAATATTTTCACGATTTCAGTACACTTTTCAACTAGTTTTTGCTTAAAGAAAAGATATACGATTAAGTTTAAATATGTATGATACGCTCAAGGGGAAAATGACGGAGACTTTATGAACGAAGTCCACTGCTTCTCCCTGTCCTCTATTGACGAAGTTTAAAAAGTTCTTTCTTCATCTACTGTAAATTAGGAATATATACAACAGAATAGTACCGAAGAGACTTTAGAATTTGATCAGTTTTACGACGATATACAAAACATGGAGGTTGGTTAAATGTTGTTACAATGCTTTATATATTATTGTTAATTATCTATAAATATATATATATAGCTTTTATTTTAATCACTATTATCACCATCACTATCTTCACCCAAAAAAAAAAAACCCTGCTTCATTAATTATCGATTATTATTCATTCGAAAAAAAAAAAACATTTCATAGTATTTATTATATTATAAAATATTTATTTGTATTGTCGATAAATCAATTTTATTTAAACGAGATAGATGATAGTATACTTATAATTTTAGTTACGACAACAAGAACAAGAAGAAATAATGATTAAAAATTTAAAAAATTTACGTGATGGTGAATTAACACACAAAAGTACTGAATTTGATCAATTACAAAGTCTTCTTATCACGTATGTTATATTTATATGATTATTTATTCTATTTGAAAATATATAGAACGAAAGATGCTCGTATTGATGATATGGTTGATTTATATGTACAAATTGTTCTTAAACAAGGTCAAGTTGAAATCGAAGAGAAACCCGCTGAAAATCCTCCAAATCAATATCGAAATAATGATGTTGAACTTATTCATCGACGTGAAGTTGAAGATTTAAATGAATCAATAATTGTAATTATACTTATTTTTTATACAAATTTCAATCGTTTATTTTCCTATAGGAATCTGCAAATTATAAAATTCGTCAAATGGACAAATCCAAAGGTGTTATTAATGAAATACAATCAAATACATGGTAATAGTATTTATTTATTTCGCAAAAAAAAAGCATTTCGTTTTTTTTATAAATAGGGAAAAAGAAAAATTAATATATGAAATAGCTGATTTAAAACAACGTGCACAAGATATAACATATCTTAAAGTTACACGAAATATTCAAGAATATTTAGCATGTAGAAATGATGCATCATTTGAATCACAAAAGCAACGTGAATTACAAATGTTAGAAGCAACTATTGAAAAAATGAGACAAGTTTGTGTTAATTATTTTATTTTATAATTCTCTATTAAATTCGCTTTTTTTTCTCGTAGCGTTTTGATGAACAACAAATGATAAAAGATAATGAACTTCAAAAATTACAACATGATAATCTATCTATTGCTAATATAACATTAGCTGTTGATGAAGCTCTACAAAATGCAAATGTTAATCTATATGAAAGAAAAAATATTATCGATCAACGAATTATTGAACAATCGAAAGCTGATCAACAAGAACGTATTCATCAAGTCGTACGTCGTCGTCGTTTAGTTGATCTAGCTAAAGCACAAGCACAAGAAGTTGCTTATTTACGTGCTGAAGTTGAACGTTTACGTATGAAAACATTTCCTGCACTCGTTCAAATTGAACATTAAGTGTGTGATCAACACGTTATTATTTTTTTTTCTTTTTACAACATTTTATTTCACATAAATCTACAATAAATAATATAATTTTCAAAAGTTTATTTTGTCTTTATGATGAACTTGTCATCTTAATCATAATCTCTTCAGGATTTGTATGAGGTCCAATATCAAAAAAATCATTTGTTTTTGCTTCTATTTTATGATTATTGATAGGACTAATGCGTGACGATTGTTTGGTTTTTATTGAATAAGTATTACATTCACTTGTTTGAATTTGATCAGATTGAGGTGTTTCATAAACAACTTGCTCTTCGATTTTATTTTTACGTGTAAGAATTGTTATTGGTGATTGTTGTTTTTTCTTTCGATTTCCTTTATCGATTAATCCACCACTTTCTTTTGACCATTGCCATCGTCGATCAGATGGAAGTTCATCAACTGATTGTTGACGTTGAATTATATTTGATGATTGTTGTTGATGACAACTGATATTTGGTGTAGATAAATCTTCAATGAAAACATCTCCTTCACTTTTACATTCATCATCTTCATCATTTAGTTCAGAACGATGAGCATGATCATCGGTGGGACGTGAAAATCTGAAATAAAAGAATTTTTTTGGTTTAAATTGAAAACAATATTTTGTATACTAACCGAGTATCATCTTCACCTTTACTTAAAATTTCACCATCAGTACTTGATAATTTTTTATGATATTTTGTTTTATTTGTTGTTCGTCGTTCAATGTTTGTAGGAATAACTGTGTCACATTCTTTACTTTGACTAATATCATCATCTTCTTCTTTTGATGATATATGATTATTATTTTTATTTTCAATACGTTTTTCTTCTCTATCGGATTCATTTTCTTCGTCAATTCGAGGTGGTAATTGTGGTGATGTTTGTTCATTGATTATTGCATTTGGTACACCATAAACACGATTATTATCCAATGAAGTTGCTGATATTTTTCCTTTAGGAGTAGGAGATATTGTCTTTTTCTTTGATTCAACTTTTTCTTTTTTATTTTTACTGTTTTTTTTTGATTTCGTACTAACCATGTCTTGTTTAACATTTTCAATTGTAGTTTCACCTTGTGTTTCTTTATGTCCTTTAAGCCAACGATGACGTGTATTTGTTTTATGAGATGATGATGCTGCTGCTGTTGTAGGTGTTATTTCTTTTGATTTTGGTTGATGTTTCTTCTGAACAATTGCATGATTACTTGATGGACGTTTATCATGAATCATTTCTTGACGATGTCGTGAATGAGATGCACTGGATCGATGTTGATAAGGATTTTGACGATGATGACTTTGAGATGTTGTATGTGCCAAAGAACTCATTGCTGTAAGTGAATAATCTTCATCATTGCCAGCTTTTTGAGGCATTCGCCGTTTAAGAATAATATCTCCATGAGCAGGTTCAAGTACATGTGCACCCTTTCTTGATTCACGACCGACTATTGGCTTACCATGAGCATCATAATGATGTTGTGTTGGATGAGCATGACGACTTCGATGAGAACGAATGTGTTGTTGTTGTTGTTGCTGTTGCGGTTCATGTTGCATTAGCATAGGAAATACTGGATGTTGCAGTGGATGTCTTACGGATGGACTTAAAGCACGATGTGTCGCTGATGGAATGGATGATGCTGCTGATTGTACTCGATTATTACTAATAATATTGCCACTACTACATAATTTTGTTGTTGTTTCAGCTTGAGCTGCAGCTGCTTGCATTTCAAATGCTTTGATTTTTTCGAGTACATTACCATCTTTAACTGCTTTCTGTAATGTTGAATGTACTCGATTTGATGTTGGAAAAGGTGTACGAATCGAACGACTAAATAGAAAAAGAAAACATACGATTACATAATCGTGTAAAAGAGATTATGCTAGAAAGATTTTACTGTGTTTGCAGATTATCAGTAGCAATGATTTGTTCATTAATATGAGTAAAACCATTTGTATTTCCTATTAAACTTTTCGGAACTAATTGACTAATAGTTTTATCAGTCATCAATGGTGATTCTGCAGAAATTGAATTAACAGTAATTGGTGTATGATCATCAATGTTTGATCGAACAGTATTTGGCTCATATGTTAGTCTACCTTCTGCTTCCGTATGAGTATTTTTGTGACGACCTCCATGTGATCCATTGACTGGTTCAGGTTTTAAATTAGCATGAGGAATTGAAAAAAGTAATCGAACACCATCGTATTGACCATTAGATGGATCACGACTATGTTGCTGATAAAATGGATTTGCTTGAAGAAATTGTCGCATCTGTTTTATATCAGTTCGTTCAGTCGCTCCATTACTCATTTGTTCATTCAATTGAGTTCGCCATGCAGCCCAATCCTGTAAATTAATTGCATTTTTATGTTCAAGATTTCCATTGGATGATGATACATGACCCATACTGGTACCAGCACGTGTAGCTGATCGATGACGTGTTGGTGATGCATGTTGTTTTCGTTTTTCACCAAAAATGAGACGTCCTTTTATATTAAATAAAATGTCAGGATATTTATTTCGTTCTTTTACTTACCTAACATTGTAGGTTTATTACTACCGCCCTTAGTCATTGACGGAATCTTTGAATACACTACTCAAATGATTTCAATGATCATGATATGTCTTCTCTTTTTTGTCAATCTATGCGATGATCATAAGCTATCATTTTCTTTCTCTCTCTCCCTCTCTCTTTCTTTTTTATCTTTACTTTTATTTTAATTGATTCGTGTCGAAAGTCACTTGTATCGATCGACAACGACTATGAAGGCGGAAACTAATCGTTTGTATAGAACAAGTACAGATTTGTTGACCGAACTGTTTCGATTCGAAACCTTCCGATCAATAGAATAGAAAGAAAGAAGAAAGATATGCATACGGAAGGATCAAAGTAAACGTGTATACACGTAACCCTTGACGATTTTATTCTCCTACTCATTCACCTTCATCGATCGTTATATTGGCATGTTACTATAATCGAGACAATCAACTAGTTCAATGATATAATAAGAATATGATAAATAACATAGTAATACTTTTATCCTTTATATATATTAATAAAAGAAGAAAGAACAAATCACGTTGTACAATTTTTTCTCAATTATTTGTAGTCTTAACAGAATATTTTTTAATTGCTTTGAATACAAACATATATCAATTCTATACTTTCAAAAAAAATACGAATGTTGTAACAGTGTAGTATTGTTTCATCAATATCAGTTCTTTTATTTGAATTTATCTAAATAAAATATGCATAAGCTCATATCACGATAGGAAAACATTTGCTAAGAAACAATGAGCATTTTTAACAATAATATTTAAAAAATAGAAATATATATATATAATATAACATAACGTTCAGAATTAAAAAATATATCAGCTTTACATAATTGAGCAGTCTGTTGAAATAATAGTCGGTTCATTTTCTAATACGGAATTTTTGGTTTGATTATCTGCTTCATTTGGAGTTATGTAAATACTTTCATTATCATTTTCATTAGTTTCTAAAATATTTTGTTGTTGAGATTTAGTTACTCCTGATTCTTGTCGATTAAAGCGTTGTGAAACACGCTGACTAGGTGATTGATTTTCTGATGATGAATGACGAGCACTTCGTACACGAGGAACTTTCATTGATGATTGAGGTAATTCATTGTTTGCAACTATATTAAAGAAATGAAATAGAATAATAAGATGATAAATTCATTACGTACTCCGTTCATTAAGTTTACTTAATGCTTTCACCATTTCATTCTGTTCTGCAGCTTGCGGACCAGTATAACCACCGGTAACTGAAGCGGTGACAAGTACAACACGTGGTTGTTTTTGATGTTCTTCACAAAGCCATAAAACTTTGCCTGATGGAATAAGACATTGTTTAAGACCGGAATATTTTTCTTCTGAATCACAATCCATTATACATCGACGTATATGTCCATAAGAATCTTTAACTTCCATACCCATAGTATTTGAAAGCTATTCATTAGAAAAAAACAAAAGATTGATGAATACTAGAAAAATAACAATTTCTTACTTCAGCAAGTTTTTGTAATTCAATTTCACCATCATCATTAGTAAGAATTTCTAATGGTAAATCACTTTGTTTAAGAAGAAGCATTATTCGTGATAAATATGATGCACCATTTTGTAATAAAACATTATCAGTAATTTCATATGGACTACCAGCTGCATGCCAATTTTCTTCATTTTCACATAATGTACGTATACATAATTTTTTCACTGGTACTTTCGGCTCAATCACAGTTTCAGTATTTTTTTGTGTTCGAATAAGTTCTTCATCTCGTTGTCGTTCAGCTTCAATATCACGTTCATTATTGACATCACTATCTTTTTGTACTCGTGTATTGGCTTGATTAGACATTTCAATACGGATTAATTCTTGTGTTGATTTTTCTTTTTCACCCATAAAATCAAGAGTAAACAGACGTGGATAAGGACGAGCTGTCATAGTTTCAGCAAAACTAGATGTTAAACGAAGAAATTTACGTTGTGTTAATTCAAATAATTCCTAAAGGAGATCAAACACATATAATTGACAGTTTTTAAATATAAGATCAAAAAACCTGATAAGCAGCCGATGTTTTTTCTTCCATTGTTGATGTTGTATTGGCATTTTTTGCTGTTTGTTTAGTTGAACTAGTTTTTTTAGGTAAATTCGTTTGTACATGAACAAATAACTCTTCAAAAGCATTTGGATTTTCAAATTGAAAATTTACTTGTGGACAAGTAAGACTACACATGCCAACTTCTGTTTGTCGCCATTTATCACCACTACCAAAGACAGCCAATATAACAGGAAGTCGAAGTGTATTTTTTGCAAATAAAAATTCATTTCGACAAACTTCACTCTGTGTATATTCATCAGATACACATGCTATAACAAGATGCGTATTTTTTAAACCCTAAAAGAAAAAATAAAAGTATATGTACAATAGAAAAAACAAAATTATCATACATGAACAATATCATGAAGTACACCAGATTTGCCTAATCGACTAATATCCATCCAAACACTCAATCCACGTCCTTCTACATAATCCTATTGAATAGAAATTATTATTTGTTAACAAACCTAAGTCGAATAAAAATAATATACTTTTAAAGATCGAGGATCTCCCCAACCAATAGAAGTAGGAGTTGATTTTGAACCTAATAAAATCGATATCATATACATATATATATATATATCGAATAATATTATTTCTATACCTTTACTAACAGCATCATGAGAATTAGCCCAACAATAACTTATAAAAACATCAGTTGGTTGATCACGTAATTTTTGTTTTTTATTATCATCACCACGTTCTTCATTAATTCTTTCCATTAATTCAATTATACGATTTTCATATCGTTTTGGATTTTGCATATTAATATAGAGTTTATCTAATAATCCAACACCAACATCCGTTTCTTTCCATCCCATATCCGTACCAAATAAAACCGGAATAATTGGTTTACGTAAAATACTCATTATTGTTTGTAATGCATCGCATAAATTTTTATTTTCACGATTTGCTATTAATTCTGTTGAAATACCGAATATAACACATTTTGCTTCTTTAATAACTAAATAATGATTTTCAATTTTAAAATCTTTTAATGAATCAGGTGTCCAAATTTTTAAACCACGTTCTAAATTTTAAAAAATAAATTTCAAATGACAAAATAATTTCTTTTAAATATACTTGTTAGATCGTCGTTAATCTTTCGAGGATCTACTTTACTCTCGATTTCTGACATAGTTGGAATATGTTCGGATGGATAAATATATACAATATCAACAGATACATTCTGTTTATAAGATTTAAGATCACGAACAGAATATTCCAAATGTAAATCATAATTACTTTTACTATCCGGTGGAACAAGTGCTTGTACTATTAAAATAAATAAAATATTTAACAAATAAAAATATTCTTAAAAAATTTTACAATCAGTAACAGATGCAACATGAAAAAAACGATGACATTGAATTGATGGTGATTTAAGTTCAATAGCACGATTAATCAGTGAAGAAGAAAATTGCCAAGGTTCATTTGTACCCTTTAAAAAGAAAAATGAAATATATATATTTATTTATTAAAGAAGATCGTACTAATTCAACGCAATCCGGACATGGAAAAGTAATATCATAAGTTACGCCAAAAAATGATTCATTAACAAGACCTTCGAATACTTCATGAATTAAAAAGAGTATATTATCAGGTCGTATGCCTTGAATTTTAATAATAATATGTTGATCTAAAAAAAACGATTATATAGATTTTCTTTTCGAGTAAAATTTTTCAACAAACCATCGGTACGCATTATAACTGCTCGATGATTATTTTTCAATAATAATGAACCATAACGCCAAATTGTTGATTTATCAGAAAACTGAAAAAGACGAACTTGTGCTCGATTAAATAAACCAGCTATTTAGAAAACAATTTCTATATGGAATATTATACAAAATTAAAATACCTGGCAGATAATTAAATATATAAACAACTTTCATCTCTCGATTTTCTGTATTAGTGGTGTCATCAATCCATGTATACTAGAATAATTCAAATAGAATTTTTATAAATATAGATAAATATAATAGAAACCTCTGGTTCTTCTTCAGGTAATAAGCATGGTACTAAATTCATATTTTGATCAGGTACAGGAAATGTTAAATCAAATGCTTCAGTTAATTTTAAAATCCAAGGATGTAAATCTTCACTATAATCTTTCCAAATAGTACCGATATCTGAATAATATAAACGTCCATTTTTAACTGGACTGTCTTTAATACTGACAATACATGCCATAACATTAACAATCCATTGTGGATTAATGACAACATAATTTTTCAAATGTTCAGAAGAAAAATATTGTAATGAACCAAGATCATGTAAGAAAAGTACAGCTTGTAGGACTTCATCAGGTTCAAATATACCAGCATCATGAGCAATATTTTCTACTTCTTTATATGTAAGTATATCTTCAGTACGTGCATTAATCATATCTTCAAATTTTAACCATACTTTTGGAATTTGTTCATCCATATAAGGTAATGCTAATGTTGTTTTAATAATTGTATTAATTAATTCAGGTACACATTCACCAGTTGCTGTACTAACATTAAAAAATCCAGCAATTTGAGGATAACGTCGTTTAAGATCATCTTGACGTAAATCAATACGTGATACTTGATCCATATGTGTACCAACAACAAAAATAGGTGCATTTGGTGCATGACAACAAATAGAAGATAACCAAAAATCTAGACCAGCATGTTCAGCACCAAGACGTATATTCCATGCAAGTACATAAACAGCTTTCTTTGCCAAAAAGAACTAAATTTTAAAAAAAAAGTTAAAAAGAAGAAAAATTAATTTTCTATATATTTTACTTGATGTGTATGATAATAAACAGATTGTCCTGCAAAATCCCAAACACTATATTCAAGAACATCATCGGAATTATCTAATGGAACTTTCCATTTAAGAATATCAATACCATCGGTTACAACCGGTGGTGCTGTTGAATGTGATTCAAGAAATGCACGTACTAAACTTGTTTTACCTGCTCCACCAAGACCAACTAACATAAGTTTTGTTCGTTTACAAGCAGTTGATCCACTCATCAATCGTTGTAAAAAGGCCATAATTTGTGTATGACCACGACGTGTTATTTCTATGGGTGGTGTTTTTAATGAAACACAACCAGTTAAATTAAGTTCTTTAAGTGGTAATAATCCAACTTCTGGACTTATTGTTTCAAGTTCAACACAATAATTTAAATTTAATATTGATAAATATCTTAAACTTTTAATTGCATCTGGTACATTTTTAATACCTTGATAATCAAGTGTAAGTACATTTAAATTTTCAAGATAAAATATTGCAGACGGAAATCCTGATTGATCAGTAATAAATGAGTCTTGTTTTGGAGTATCTAATTCATTTATATTTGATGGGTCAACAGAAGATCGACCTGAATTTGGCTATTAAAAAAGAATATATTAGTAAACAAGTAATACTAGTCCGAGCAATCGCTTAGCTCTTTCTCGTACAAATGCATCCTCTTCACATTTACTGGAAAAACAATTGAAAACCTTGCTCTCCTTTCTTGCTTCTTACTCTTAGCACATACTGGCATCCTACTTAGAGGTAAACGTAGATCAAAACATATTTGAACTATCGGCACCAGTGGCTCTTCGACCTAGCCTTTGACGAATAAGTGAAGTGTTAGTAATTTTATACGCAAGAGAGCCAGTAGTTTATGATCGCCGCACTACAACCAGGGGAACATTTGGATATCCATAAAAATGTATTACCCAGAAGCACGGCTTCTATCAGTCCACATCACTTCTCAGAATTCATACCCCTCCCCCTCTCGCCTCAGTAGTCTGCGCAGATGAGGCGCACATTTGAATTCCCAGCATCGTGATACCTCAAGAAATGTCTTTTCCGAAAAATCAGTCGTCGATATTTTTTGGCCCTACGGACACATAAACAAGCAAGCAATCAAGCAGACAATTTATGTTTGCAAGACTCTTCTCTACGAGAAAGAGGATACAATTCATTTCAATACAAAAATACTTACTATTTTTGTCTGCGATGATGGTCTTAAACGTGGAATAAAACGATAAATATGTGCATTCATTAAATTTATTTCTGAATATGATAAAATTCCATTTGCATCTTCATCATACATATAATAAATTGATCTTAATTCTTCATTATCAAGATAGGAAGTAAATTTCTGTTCAAATGATTCATATTTAACAACTTCATTAACACTCATTCCTTCAACACCCCACCAAGCAACACCATTAATAGTCAATTCAGTTAATTTAGGTCGAGCATCTGTACCTAATGTTAATGGTAATGTGGTAAAAATACTATTTGTCATTGATAATGTTTTTAATTCAGATGAAAATCGTGTATTAGGATCAAGTTCTGCTAATCGACCAAGTTCAGATAATTCAATGTATTGTAAAGATGATGATGAGAAAATATTTGTTGGTAATGTTTGAAATGGATTTTGTTTTAATTTAATCGAAATTAATTTTTTTAAATATCGAAAATCCATATTTATCATTGTAAGATCATTATTTTCAAGTGAAATATAAGTTAAATTTTTAAGAGATTCAATATTTTTTTTACTTAATTGAAATCGATCAATAACAACATTTGTTATATCAATTATTTCGAGACCAGTAAATTTAACAAAAAATTCATCATTTAATATTAAACGATTTTCAATAGCATTCTTTTCAGGTTTATATAATTCAAAATAGAAAATACTTGGTGCATAATTACCAATTATATCTAAACGTTTTTGAAATGATAGATCCGATGTACGATCTTTGATTTCATCATCACGAAATAGACAACAATAATAACATTCACCATATTTACCAAATTGTTTTTGATAATATGTATTTGGAAATAAAGTAAATTTTATATCGATTGAATCAAGACTACCTTTAAGACTTGAAAATAAATCTTGATCAGAATAACAATTATAAAGTATATTGGAATCTGATTCATAATTTTTTACCGATGGACGTTTAGTATAAAAACTTGTTGAATGTAAACATGTTATATAAGCACTTAAATCTAACCAACGTCGTATATAAAAATCGGTGAGATTTTTATTAAATGAATTATTTTTGTCGGAAATTAATTCTGATGTTGAAGGTGCAATTAAATGTTTCTATAGAAAAAAAAAGTTGAAATTACGATACAAAAAATGAAATAATTTACTTGATTTCGTGCAAGATCAACAGCGGTTAACATACAAATTGTTATTATTGACATTTCAATTGCAGTTTTATCCGTATGATCACCTTTTGTATCTAATAAATGTGCACCCGATACAATACTTGTTGAATCTAATGGAGAAAGACATCGATGATTGCATGTTAAATGAATCGTAGCATTGGATGAATTTTGAAATTGTTTTAAACATGGATATGTTAATGTTGAACTAGTAAATGGTGTTGGTAATAAAACTACACCTGGACTTGTTGTTGATGTTGGAGGACTTAATTCCATATCATGTTCATATAATATTCGATTAGCTATTTCATTTTGTATAAATGTATTCATTTTATGATATTTAACTCGTACATTATAATAATGACGACATGACAGTGTGGTGAATTCAGTTTTTACAATACTATGAGGAAAATAGTCTACTGGCATACCTTCTGTTTGCATCTAAATAATTAGAGAAAATGATCAATTTTAGATTTACCATAAGATCTTGACAGACTAAAATGAATATTTGATTCAAGTATTTAAGATTGGAATAAACTGATGCCGCGACGATATGAATAAATAGTCATGCAAATGTGCTGAGAGGATGAGACGCTTTTTAATCTGAATCATCGTAGAACTATAGTCGCCAACGTTATAAATTTTTTCGATAAAAAAAACTTTCCAAAATCTCAACCGTTATTACAAATTCAATAAAAATATTATATTCCTTACATAATTAAAACATTCGAATGGTACTGGTTCGACATTTGTTTCTGTTAAATAATTACGCCAACCAAACCGACCATCATAAGCTAAAATGAAATAAAAAAAACGATTTTATCTAACATAAATGTTCTATATAATTACATTTTGGTTTATCATAACGTGTAAATGTAAGATGTGGATTTGGCTTAGTCGTATCAACATTTTTATATAAAACACGTTGAATATATTCCCAATAACCACAAGGATGAAGATCAGAATTATCGACTTCAACTGTATAATCAAATGTTGATGTCCATCCATCGAAATTAATTCTTATACGATTATCCTCATAAACTTCAACTAAAATATTCTTACTAAAATAAAAGTTTACATGATAAAATAAAAGAACCTCTTACCAACATTAGCAATAGCTAAAATACTTGGATTTTTTCGATCTTTAGCTTCAAGACGCATACCAACTTTCCATGGACTATTTGTTATCGAAGGACTAATAATTGCAGTATCCTTAAAAAGACAGAAAGCATTTTTTTTTCTACATGAAATATTTGAAGTAAAACAAACAAGTGCTGATAAATGATGATACAAGATTAGGCGTAAATTTTGATCAGATTGGTGAATTCCAGGACTTATAATATATGGTTGAAACATTGCCTGTGCTGATTTACGTTTAATTGTTTTTTGAGACCAAGGAATATCATTAATAGAAAATACAAATTCATATGTATTCTATACAAAGATAACAAAATAATCGAAAATCTTTTTATATAATAAAATAAAATCAATTACTGGTTTATGAGTAAATAAAATATCTACACGTAATCTTAATCCATTATAAAATTCTTGTGACCCACTATTTTTTGTATCTCCTTTTGTACTTCTTAAACCTTGTAAACCACCCATTTGTCGAATTTCATCTAGATATGACATTTGTTGATCCTAAAAATAATCTATTAATAATTATAATCATTTCGATTATTACGAACTTTTTGTGATTTTTGATTTATAGAAGCTTTGGCCGGTTTCTTTCGATCAGCACCATATTCGAAAAGTATTTTTTCATCTTGTTTTGTAGTAGGATTATTTCTAAAACGATGTATATGTATATATCATCAGATAATAGTTTGAAAATTACATTAAACATCCTATTTCAATAGATGATAATATTGGAGAATTTTGTTCATTGTTTTTATTTCCATTATTCAAAAATATAACTTCAAATGAGTTACATCCATCTGGTCGTAAATTATGTTTGCTGGTATAAGAGAATGAGCTTTTACCAAGATTAAATATTAAAAATCCTGATCGATCTTGTTCACTTGTAGTTGTTGTTGTTGATGTCTGTCGTGAGGGTGATAATAATGTACTTGCATTCTAATAAGAATTAAAACATGTTGTATGATTAAATGAAAGAAAAAGAAACTTTCTTACATATAGAGATCTATTTGCTGAAGAACGAAGACCACATACAGAACAAGGTGATGTAAGAGTAGGTGCTGACGAATAATGATACAAAGCTAAATGTTTCCATTTGTCATTCATTAGTTCATTTCCTTTATTTAAAAATAAAAATTTCATTACTTTCTAAACTTTTTGTATTATTTATTCTACTTACCAACTATTGCGTCAAAAGGATTCGAAATTTCTTTGTTTTTGACCTCAATCTAAATATAAAGAAAAAAATTATAAATTAATATTTATTTTTTTTTGTTGATTTACTTTATATGCATAATCACATTTGAATAAATAAGCCCAAATAATAACAAAATATTCTCTTGTAATATATTCAAATGATTCATTAATTAATTCACTTGTTTTATCATTTTTATCTGTTGATCCATTTAAATTAAGTGTACGAGAAGTTATACTAATACCTAATAAATATAATGTAGACAATAATTTATTTATTTATTTAATAAAATAGAATACTTGTCTGCTGCTTATTTTCATGATGATATTGAATTAAAATTTCTATTGCTCCTTCTTGAATAAGTAAGAAATATTTTGATGCAAGTATTAATTTTTGAGATGGAAATAATTTATAAAGACGAAATAGAATTGCTTCATCGCAAGGATGTAATAAATGAAAATAAATACTAAATTCATATTCATCTGCTGGCCATGATGGAGACCAAACAGTACTCTAAAATGAAAAGAAAATGTTTTTTTTTCTTAAAACTAATCATTATGATAGATATTTACCAAAGGAACAGGTGGTTCAGATGATATAGAATTGAAAAGAATAAAAATATTAGTATCACCCTGTTCTTCAGTTGATATCGGATAAGCTATTCCCCATGAACCAAACAACCATTGAAAAAAATCCATCTTAAGAAAAATTATATGTTTACATATTAAATATATAATTTCATACTTCATCTCCGCTGATTTCAAGTTTTTTTAATTCATGTTTTGTAATTATATGGATATTTGTACCAATAGTATGTTTAAATTGTTCTAAAATATGTTCAGTCTTTCGATTTGAATGTGTTTCCATATTGAAAAGATGATTAACTGTATGACAAAACCATTCAATATCCGAAACAAAATATGATTTATTATTCGATGCTGAATATATATCAAGAACATTATCCTTAAATGAAATCATTAGAAATTTTTAAAAATTATAATATATTTTATTTTACAGTAATTAATCTATGTGTAAAATAAATATTTGCTAATTTGGTTGCACTTGGTATCATCGAATCGTTATAATCCGCTTTTGATTGATTGATAATTTTATCAATAAGTTTCGTTATAGGCTCATTTGTTTTTACTACTTTATTACGATAATCATCTTGGGTATCAAGTGTATATAAAGAATTGCAATGTTTAACGGCATCTTTCATTATATAATTTGATATAAAAGATGGATCCTAAGAAAAAGAAAATATGTTAGTAATAATATAATCGGGTATATGAATTCCATTATAATATTACCTTTTGTTTGAAAAGTATACAATGATCTTCGTTTAAATGTTCCATTAATAAATCATATTTAGTTTGAATATGTAATAAACTACTCATATAGTGATTACGACGAAAATCATCATTTTCAAATCTACATAATATATATTATTTTTTGGAGATTTAAAACTTGATGAATCTTACGAATTTGTCGTGTCCTCATTACTATATTGCTTATAGAGATCATCAGCTGTTTTTGAAATATGATTTAATTGCGAGCGAAGATTGGATAAAAATTGTTCTATAGATTCTTCACTGTGAATAATCAATCGAATTTGTAATTTTTGCTAAAATTATTAAATATTAAAATCATTAGTTCGTCTTTTCATTATCTATTTACTAGAATTGTAAATGATGTATTACAATCAACTGAGAAGAAAGTTTTGATAACTTCATCTACACTTGAAACAACCATATAAATTATTTGTGGATGAAAAGATGAACATAGTTCTTTGAATAGGATAAACTTCGAAGAGAAAAAAATATTTATTGAAAACTCTAGGATTTTAACTTACATTGATACATTCAAGAAGTGCTATTTGACATCCATCATGCGTTGATAATAAAGAATCAATTAACATAGAAGATTTTTCTTTTGATGTTTGAATTTGATTTATAATCATCTGTTTTGATGATAGCGTAAAATTATTTTCGGAATTTGTGTGATAAATCAGCACTTTTGATATTGATGTTTTCGTACTCTTTAATATATAAATAATATTATTATGAAAAAATTTCAAATAAAAAACTCTTACTTTTCCAAATAGTTTTTCAAGACTAGTAATGGTGTGTTGAGTTACATCATTCTTATCTTCTATTGTATTATGAGCATGAAGCATTAATTCAACATTCTAAAATATAAGAATTTATTTGGAGAATAAAAAAATATATTACAAAACCTTACCACTTTAATATCTCGATGTTTTTGTTGATCAGTTATCATCTGAATATAATTCAATGCATATGGTGTTACATGAGGGCAAGCTCGAATACGAATTTTTTTCAAATGTGGCCATTGTAATTGACTTAATTCATAAAAATGAACATCAGTTAATAATGCACTTGCATCACATATAATTTCTCCACATGCATCTGTATCCTCAATAAAAGCATTCTATAGAACAAAAAACAAAAATAATTCTTTGATGGAAATTTATCTTCTATAATATTTTTTTACTTACTTTAAATGCTTTTATAGAACCTGTTTGATTCTCATTTTGTAAAATTTCATTGAGATTTCGAGTACTAGTTATCGGCTGTAAGGGAGAATGAGAACCACTGGGTTTATGTGTCGTTTTGGCAAGCTCGTTAGTCCAGGCGTTGATTTCTTGTTGCACTAAATCATCATTTTTAGTATTGTGTCGGTCTTGGAAGTTAGCTGGTAATGATTGAGGTGCTTTTCGTTGCATATCAATCGGTTCACTGTAGAATTTAGGTTTTTTGCTTTTCATTGGTGGTCCTTTTTTTGAATGAAGCTGTTGTTCTTGTTCTTCCATCTCTCCATGAAACTCGACTGGTTCCTCTGTTTCTTCATCAAGTGGTTCACGGACTTCTTTCATTTCCTTCTTGTGCGCTGGTCCTTTGGATTTCCTCGATTTTTCGGCCATTGCGATAAAAAATTAATCCTCTTCTATTTAAGAAATTAATTGTAGTAAAGTAAGGTTTGTTCTTGTTATTTTACTAACATTTGTTGACACATAAGAAATGGCATGGTGACAATGGTAACAACAATAACAATGCAGAACGGATAAATTTACTCGTCACTCTCTCATGTTCTTGCGTCTCTTTTTTTTTCTTTTTATTTCTCAGGTGCGCCGTTTTTTGAGCGTCATACGTTTTCATTATTTTCTTAGTAAGCAATCCTATCGAATAAAATGTCTTCTCATTTCTTCAAAGATATTTTTTGACATACTTTTAAGTCATGTTTATTAATAATGTTGCTAAGAAAACAGCGTTAAAGTACAAACATGATTTATTTTTACATAGAATAACTTTTTAAAAAAGAAATCCTCTTAAATCTATTTCTTGAATAAATTGCAACTTGTCAAACATACATATTATAATTTATCTTTATTCAATGAAAGATCAATGTAAATAAATAGAATATACAATAAAATTATTTTCGATTTAATATATCAATAATTCGTTGAATATATTCATCAGTTAGTTTGTAAACAACTGCTTCATTTTTTGATGAACAACGACTTATTTTAGCAACAGTTACTGAAGGATAGAATAGTTTGATTGTTTCTTTGGCTGTATCACTATCAATCAATTGTAAATTACGAAAACCGGCCAGACGTAGTTTATTCCATCTTTTATATGCCTTTAATTAATAATAAAAATAGGAAAATAATTTAATCGTAATCAAAGATTAAATTCTTACCACACATTGTTTCGTATGATCTATATCAGGATTCCAAAAAACAACAATATGTATATTATATCTTGTTAGAGTAGTTTCAAAATCCTAATTTGAAAATAAATTGATTTATCAGATATTAAATTATAGAAATTTGAATTACCCCAACTTTTGATTCACCAAAATCACCAACTACAGAATTACAAAATATAAGACCACGATTTCTAAACCATGCAGGATATCGATTAATCGTTCGTACAGTTGTAGCTGCTCCACCTATTTTATAATCAAACTTTTACAAAAGTATGAAATTCATCCGAACTTACCACATTGAGCAATAACATTAACTGAATGTTGAACATTAAAACTTGAGAGAATAGCAACTATAATTTCAGGTCCATATCGTTTCCAACTTGCTTGATCTAAACTACGACCACTTGATTGACCAAAACCAGGTAAATCAACGAAAATTGCCGAATATCGTCCTCGTTGACTCAATGGATATGCCTGTTTGATCCAACTATTGTAAAAATCAAATCAGATCAATGCGAAATACATATAAATATCATACTTAGCCCAATTTCTACCTGCACCAAACCCATGAAGATAAAGAACAGTTGGTTGATTTTCTCTATTTAAGCAAAAAAATGAAACATACATTTCGATATATAATTAATTAACGAACTTAAATGAATAATTGCCATTAATCGAAAATAAAAGATCATTAATTTTAATCAAAATTGTTGTACTATGCATATTTTCAAAAAGCCATGAACGTTCAGCTTCATCTTCAAAAACAATTTTTGAATTAAATAATTGAGTAGCTTGAGGTGATAAAGTAGCATAATCTCGTCGTTCAAATACCACATTTTCTACTGTAAATTAATTAGATTAATGATAATCTAGATAATATTCTAAAGTCTTACATAATGATCGAGAAGAATCCAGTGGATCTGAATATGCTGATTTTTCTAATTCTATTTGTATTTTTGGTTGAATTTGTGCCGGAACAGATTTACGTTGTGGACTTTTAGATACATGTCTAGTAACTTTCTTTGTTTTTTTCGTAGATCTTGCTGGACTTGCCATTCTAATAATTTCTATGTATAGAAAAGAAGTCTCAATTATAACCTTCTTTCTCTCTCTCTATATATATATGTTCGTTGTTATCTCAAAATGAGAACATTTTTTGCATTGGCTCTTTTTGACGAATTCCGACTGTGATTCATATTAGTTATTTTTCTTATCACATCGTAAAACAAAAAACTCGTGTTTTTAACAGCTATCCTGTAGTCAATGTCATATTTATTATTTATTTGATCATATTCTATATAAAGATATCATATACAGGCATTTTATTATCGTTTTGCTCGATAACTTTACTGTTTGCCAACGGGTATTCATTAGAAAAATATTTAACAAAATACTATTTTTGATCAATAATGTTACAGAAATTATGACTTACTATTGTTGTATATTTTTGAGCGATTGTTGCACAATTACGTATGCATACAAATAAAATATTATCTCAGGCTTTTTTCTAACAAAATAATGCTGATAGAATTGGTAGTATATATATATAGAAAATCAAACTCCTTGAATTTTTTTTTGTAAATTAAGGAAATACTTTATTTTACCGAGTAAAGTCAAGTTAAGGCACTTCACTTTACGGAGTAAAATAAAGTTAAGGCATTATACTTTACTTAGTAAAATAAAAATAAAGTGCCATTTTTAGTAATGTGCTTTAACAATAACTTTTTTGTTATTCATCAGAAGATAGATTTCATCGATATTAAATTTCATCTTTAAACAATAAAATTTTCCTTATATGGAGAGAGAAGTAACGACTATTCTGACGATGATAACCACTGCAGTTGAAATGTAAAATATATTAATCTGGCTCTAAAAAATACACTTCTGAATAATAGATCAAATATTATATATGAGTCAAATACACATTTATTCGTTCTTGACTGTTGATAGTGAGTCAATATTTTCATGCAATATGAGTTGTTTTTTTTTATTATCATTTACTTTTTGTACCACGTGGTTAAAAGATATGCTAATTATCTTTCAACTCAGTCAATCATTCGAAATTAGCAATACTATTTCGTCTTACAAAATTTTAAATTTATTTTAATACAAGTACATAAAAAAACAGATAGAAAAATATATTGATTTAATCTTATAATAAATGTAATATTCAGTCTGAATCATCACTAGAAACAACAACAGCATATTCTTCTTGAAACCAATTCCATGTCTTTTCTAATCCTTCTCGTACACTTGTTTTTGGTGAAAAATTAAGTAGTTTTCGTGCTTTTGAATTATCACAATATGTTATTGATGGTTCTGTTTTATGTGATTTCATGGGTCTTTTTGATATATCTTCACCAGAAAGATTTTCAATATGTTCAATAAATGTGGATAATTTTATTGGATTTCCACATCCAATATTGATTATTTCATAACCAAGTGGTTGTTTAAGTGCACTAATAAATCCATCAATAACATCATCAACATAAGTCCAATCACGTTTAATTTCACCATTATCAAATACATCAATAGTATATGTTCTATCAACTGAAGCTTGCATTAATTTCATTGGCATCATATCAGGTCGTCCACGTGGTCCATATACATTAAATAATCGTAGAATGGTTATATTTAATCCATGCATATTATTATAAACATATGCTAACATTTCAGCAGCACGTTTCGTCGCTGCATATGGTGATAATGGTTTTGAGCACGAATCTGTTTCAATGAACGGTAATATATCTGTTTGTCCATATACACTTGATGTTGAAGCAAAGACAAATTGTGTTATCTTATAAGAAGCAGCCAACTCTAATAGATTTTGTGTACCATTATAGTTTATTTCCATATATTTTCCAGTTTGAGATGTTGAAGAACGAACACCGGCGAGTGCCTAAAATAATAAATCAATAAAAAAATAAAATACAGAAAATACGAAACTACTTACAGCAAGATGAGCGATATGTGTAATATTATATTTATTGAATATTATTTTTAATAATTCTAGATCATTGATATCACCACGAATAATAATAAAACTTCCATCAAATAGTCGATCTCGATGACGAGATTCAAGTAGTGAAACATTTCGTTGTTTGATCAATGGTGAATAATAATCATTAAAATTATCTAATAGTATAACATTACCGAGACTAAGTTCAAGTAGACGATCAATAAGATGACTACCAATAAATCCGGCACCTGTATAATAAATCAAAAAAAAATATATAATGATTTTTTTTGAACTATGGAAAATGCTTACCGCCAGTAACGAGATATACATTTGATTTAACCATTTTGATTTTGTTGAGAAAATAATAGATATTTCAATGTATTATATAAGGGATGATACGCGTAGGTGAAAAAATATTGATTGATAGTTATATCTTGATATACTTTATTCATACTTTAGACATGAGTCAAACATCAATGACGTACATGAGGATGCATTTTTGCGTCGTCCATAATTACAAAGTACTTTTTTTTCGATCTTAACGATACGGGCCAATGACACCTACAACCTACAGGTGAAAAGATAATCGATAGAAATCATGCAATTAAGTGATGACTGTAATGATTATGATAGCATGTTTTTCTTCTAGCTTGTTTTCGAAATATTGATGTATCTTATTCAATTGGATGCACATAATGCTCCAGGTATTCAATATGATATAAGATATAATATGCATATTTTATTGTAAATTGATAATATATCCCTGGAATTTTTATTTCATATGATTTATTAGAAAAGACAAATTATCGCAATTTCCAACTCATATATTTTTTTCTGTTTGTTTTTTTCGAATGTAATCGAAAGTAAATAGCCTAGATAAGATCGAATATTTTATTTCTATATACATATATACCTTGATGAAGTATTTTATAAGCAAAATAAATTATTTTCAAAGCTTTGATATAGAGTAATCTTATGACAAAATATTTCAATATACATAGGATGTCTTAATATTAAATGATGCAAATTGAACATCGTGATGGCGTCTGATAAAAAATCTTTCTGAATTATAAGTTAATTGGATGGAAAAGTACAAAGTACAGTAGTAGGTTGTAAATCAGACAATTATATTACCTCTGTTAAATGATGGATTCTCATATCGGAAATATAGTTGTTATTAATATGTATTTCTTCTACATTTTCAATACTATGTTTAGTGTGTCAATTTTTTTGTCTGCATACATATATTTGTAGATACCAAAACATATACGACAAGACAAGAAAAGCTTGTATTTTTAAATAATAGTAAATAGTTAAATATTCGACTTCGCAGAATTAAGATATCTCGAGAAAAAAGCGGATTGTTTTTTGGTTTTATGAATGACTAGAAACAGTGTTGAAAGAAATTTTTCTATGCTATTATTTTATGTAAAAACGATTATATTTTCTGACGATAGATATATGTCAATTTATGTAATTATATTCATTTGAACTTGTTTTTTCGATATAAAATCTATTGTATAAAGCATATATATGTAAACTAGCTCCATCTATCACAAATACCTATTGGATCGATTTAGAGTTTCTATATTTTACTCGTAATTTCATTTGCCAGAACATTCATTCGTATGCGATCTAACGATTTTATTTAGATTTTTTTCTCATTTATTAACTGTAGTTGAATAAGTTTCATAATTATTTAGATCATGGTTCGTCGTAACAGAGATTCCGATGATAATGAACGTCCAGCACGTCGTAAACAATTTAAACGACCTGGAAACGAAGATAATGAAACACCAGCTCCAGTAAATCCATCAGGAACTTTAGACATTCGTAATAAAATGATTCGTCAGTTAATGTATGCGAAATTAAAACGTTCAAAATCGAAAACTAAATTACAAGAACGTAAAGCAAGACAAAAATCAGGTGAACCAAAAGAAGAACCAAAAACAATTGAAAAAAAACGTAAACGTGATGAAACATGGGTCGATGAAGATGATCAAGAAGCACTTGATGATATAACAAATGATGAATTAAACAATTATTTCACACGAAAAGCTGATGGAAGTCAACCAAAATTATTGCTAACAAGTCAAGAAGGTTTTCCAACATCATTTACAAATAAATTTCTTAAAGAACTAGCAAGAGTTCTACCAAATACAACATATTTTCAACGGCGACATCATCCTATTAAACGAATTATTAAAAAAATGAATAAATTAGAGTAAATATTCTATTAAAGGAAAAATCATTAATATTAAATTTCTTTTTTTTCTTCTTCTAGTTATACAGATTTACTTGTTATCAATGAAGATCATGGTAAACCATGTACTCTATATATATCTCATTTACCTGAAGGACCAACAATGAAATTTCGTTTAACAAGTGCTAAGTTATCAAAACAATTACGTTCAAATCGTGGTAAATCATGTGCTAAATTAACTATTCGACCTGAAATTATTCTTAATAATTTTAATACACGTATTGGTATACGTGTTGGTCGTCTTTTAGCAGCATTATTTCCTCATGATCCACAATATAAACATCGTCATGTGATTACATTTCATAATCAACGTGATTTCATATTCTTTCGTCATCATATGTACTTATTTAAGAATGATAAAAAAGTTGCTTTACAAGAATTAGGACCACGATTTACAATCAAACTTAAAACAATTCAACGTGGTACATTTGATGCAGTGTATGGTGAATATGAATGGATGCATAAACCAAAACATAAAATGGATACAGAAAGAGCAAAATTTTTTCTGTAATTGTTTGTTTTCATGTGAAATAAATAAAAAAGAAACAATTTACCTATTCTCTTCCTTGTAGAGAAGAGTCTTGCAAACATAAATTATCTGCTTGTATGCCGTACTTCACTGATTGATTGAAGGATGACCAAGGTCGAGGAACACGAATCTGATGTTAGTTTTTAAAATCTTTGTAAGGATCGTTATATGCACAAAGAGCAGTCTTTAGCTTTATTAGATATACTATTTCTATTAGAAAGAGTTGTGCGAGCGCTACTTGTCCATTGTATTACTATAATTGATACAAGATATGAGTTGTTGTCTTGTTATGCTATACAATCATCATCAAAGGAGAAAGAATGAACCTTTCTATTGGTACTTTGGCTACAATCGTTTTATATGTCTACGGTAAGATAAGAAATGTAGTTCATATTTATAATAACTATGTAGTTAAATACAGTATTTATTTTTATGCCAGACATAGTTTTCAATTTCATGAGCACCATGTGATTATATATATATATTTATAGACAGATTAGTATTCTATCTGAATCTACTTATTATATATGTAACTATTAATACTATTCCTTTTGAATAAAGTGTTCAAGTAATTCTGTTTTCTTTGAAGATGGTACGGAAAAAATACTATTAGGAAAACTCAATTCTTTTAAGTAGTGATGTAAACAGAAATTGACGGGTGGATAGGCGTCGTTCTACCGATTTTAAAAATACTATATAATATATATAGAAAAATCGCTTTTTCCAATAACGAGTGAGCGGGTGAACAGATCCAGTGAATAGACGGGGCCGACCCACGCCACAACTTTTAAGTTTTATTGTAGGAAGAGCTCGCTTTATTTACATAACTATTTATATTCATTTAATCAAACGTGTTCCAATCATTCAACGTATCATTAGAATAATATCTCTCTACTTTTATAAACATTACGTATAAATCCTTCAAGTGCAAGATTATATTACAATGTGAAAAAATGCATGTCTTCATTATGAATATATTCTACTTTGTATTTCTAAAGAAAATATTACTCAATGCATGGTCCTAACTAGTGTTATCTAGTATATTTTATTAGACATGCTTAACAATAGCAAACTGAAAAGTCTATCTTTGTATTATTTTATTTAAATAAACAAATCATATCATTGTAAAAGTGTATAAACATGTTTTTTATTAAGGCCGACGCGTTCCACGCCAAAGTTTTGTTTTATGCTGTGCACGCGTTCGAATGAATGGTGCAGCAACAAGAAAAAGTAATGTAGATACAACTGTCAATAGAAGAAAAAAATAAAATAAGATTTTATCAACTTTTGTCGCAATAGCACGCCAATCATTTGTTATTTTTTGATCACGTTCAAGTTGTTTTTGTGTACGTAATAAAGTATGTAAAGTATCTTGAATTTCATCTTGAACTGTTCCTGTTGAAGTTGAACGAGATGTTGATCGATGTTTCATAGAAAGTTCTTGACGATTTGAACGTGATAAACGTTTACGTTTTGGTTTTTGTTCGGATTCTTGTGAACTCAATGTATCTATTTGAATTGTATTCAGCTATATGGAAAAAACAATTAGATTTTTAAATTACTTAGTAAAAATATGAAGTATATAAAGAATTTTTTTTTGGAAATGATATTTCATGTTTTTAAGATACACTACACATGAGATTATATTCGATGACATTTGTGTAACAAAAGTTGAATTAATTATGGTTGCTTAATCAATTCATTTCCTCATTATTATAAATAGAAACTCTAAAAAAAATTATGCTATTATTACAAGTAATTGTTTACTTATACTCTATAACTATCGTTTCAGAAAATTTTATAATGACATGTTTATTTATTATAAATTTGACGACTGGTAAGAACACTTATCTAAAAAATAATCATCTAACTTTCTCACTTACCTATGTCATATATACTCTTACAAGTGCAAAAAATAATGTATATTCTATTTATAAGTGTTAATTGTTGGAAGTTTTCCACATAAAGAAATAAAAATAATTATATACTTTTCTCGTTCTCATTGACTCGTATACTTGAATGGAAACCTGAATCTTCATATGCATTTATATTGATTCGATATATAATTACAGACATTGTTTATACACTGAAAGACAAACTTTCTTCTTCTATCTGATAAATCATTAACTAAGAAAAGATGCTTCGCTTCGAATATCTTTTACAACTAAGTGAATAGTTTGAGAAAGATTTAATAGTAAATTCAGTTATGATATTGATTTCCTCTGAGAAATAATCTATTTACTATAAGTACAAATTCTTTGTAGCAATCGAATCTTGAACTTTATCGACACCTACGTTCTCTCTAATGAAATAACAATTTATGCACCTAAAGCAATGAAAAATAAATTACATAGGAAAGAACTGTCTATATCAATTAACCTTCATTATTTTAAAATAGAAAGTAAAGATATTTTCATTTCAATAGTACATATAATCTTTCTGAATAAAATTGAACTTTAATGATAAAAAAGTTTTCTTAGATGATCTCATAATAGAATTAAAGTATACTTACATCTGTTGTTATTGTTGCTGTTCTTGGTTTTGATCTCGTTTCATTAATACTCATATAAGATGGTTTAATTCCATTAGCAGGTGTAAGATTACATAATTGTTGACTGCTACTTGTATTATGAACACTGTTCTTCTTCTTTGTTGATTCTTTACTTATACATGGTAATTTAAATTTTTTTGTTTTAGGAAATGAACGAACAACATTAACTAACGATAAGCTTAATAATTGTTGTAACCAAAATGGTACTTCATTTTTTTTTGGACCACGATAATGAAGATTAAGAACAAGTACAGTCATCATAACCGATATACTTGTTACAGACATAACTGTTGTTAAATATAAACCTTAAAATAAAAAAAGAAGAAGACATAGTTAAAATCTCGAAAAAAATATTAAATTTACCAATTAATGGAATATATTCACTTGTTTCTGGCATACTTTCAGCAATAGCTAACATGAAAACACTAAATGCAAGTAACACAGTTATACCAAGAGCAATTTTTTCACCGGATTCAGGTGGTAAACAAAAAACAAGTAAAGTTAATACGGATAACATAACACATGGAAAAACAACTGAATATAAATAATATAAAATACGTCGTCGTATACGAACAAAAAATGTTATATCCGGAAATGGTTCTGGACAACATGGATATCGAACAATATTAACTTGATATGATGTATCCAATAAATCCCATTCACCATTTGGAACATAATTCGATAATTCAATAGCATCATTACGTTCTGCAATTGAAACTTGAAATCCATTATAAGTCCAACTACCAAATTTAAGTCTACATTCTTGTTCATCATAAGGAAAATATGTTACATCAATTTGACATGTACTCTTCAATCGTGTTGGTATTGGCCAAAATACACTACCATCAAAATCAATCATTGCATTTGCTTGCATCATATTACTATTAGAAAATTCATCAGCATTCTAAAAATAGGTCAAATTTTAATGAATTATATAAGATTTTTTGTTTTGTTTTACATTATATAGAACAATATCTGGTAACCAAATGAGTTTAGATGGAAGATTAAGACGACGAATTCCATTGAAATCATCCGGATTCCATTGTAAAAATTCATCACGCCTTACAGAAAAAAAACTTTATATTTAGAAGTTCGGAATAAACTTTTCCAATACCTACCATTCTTGATCGAGCCATACATTACTTACTAATATTTGATTTTTTTCCATCTAAAATAAAGATAAGTAAATTTTTTCTATATTAACAAATAAAATTATTATTTTCCTAACCATATCAAATATTTGTGTAAGTGTTAAACCAAGTTTAACTGGTACTGGTAAACTAGCATTACGTACTGGCCGAACATTATTGGAATAGTTTCTATATGTATATATATAAGTTAAAGTATGAGAAAATATTTATCATTACTTTAATAAAAAATATAAAAGACGTTGTTCATCGGAACAATTATATCGTGTTCGATTACTACAATCAGTAAGTGCACCAAATGGTGATCGAAAATCTTGACATCTAATCGTACCTATCCAATAAAAACAAAACAATTCATATTGATAAATCAAATACTAACGAGATGTATATCCAGCTGTTTGATCTCTTACTTTCTGTTTTTTTCTATAGTTTCAAATAACAAAATATAACCCTTTTATCCTTCAAGCTAGATTGATGATAACTGACTGCCTATCACAGCATGTGTAAATGCAAACAAAAAAGAAAAATGTCGGTTTTTTTTAAAAAGTTTTCAAGTAGTTGAAAAGGCAATGTTTAGTATAATAATCAAGTTGCATGATAGTAATGTTGAAGAGAGCACCTGTCTCGATTCTAATGTAAAATTTATAACTTATTTTAAATACTAAAGTAATAGAAAGAATAATTGTACTCATTCGATTAAGTTACCTACCAAGTAGTGTAATAGATATAATGACGATAATTATAGATGATGTGATTAATTGATTATTGAAAACCAAAGAACGATATTCCATATTTGTATATATATATGTTCTCGAAGTTCAAGTTAATTTGACAATATAGTATATTCTTTTTGTTCACGGTTTTCTTCTGTTCTCCTAGTAGACAAACAATAACAATTACTTAAGTATCGACGAACTTCAATGTTCTCTGTTTTCTGCTATATTTGTTCGCCTTTCTGAAACGACACATCTTCTACTTCTCTTCACTAGAAAGAAAAAAGAAGAAGAAGAAGAAGAAATCTAGAGAAAGAGAGAAACAGTCAGCCGACAAGCAGAGAAATACAGAAAGTGTTCTCATCCGCACTGAGAAATATAATGAATAGTAGATTCAATGCTGTTACTTTATGTATACGATGCTAATCACACACACCTCATTGTTTTCTAGATATTTATATATATATGTATCAAAACAAGAAAAGTTTAGGGCAAATAAATATTTCTCTCTCTCTCTCTATTCGTTTGTCTTGTATAAATCAGTTTGACACTAATATTCAGTCGACCTACATTAATTTTGTTGTTGTCAGATGAGTGTGATGGAAAATACTTAGATCGTTTTTTAACTAATAGAGATACAGATGTCCACACATATGTATAAGTTTAGGTATTATCTAGAATCATTAATTATATTTTATACTGATAGATACGTTTTGTAATGTTTATTAGAAAGCATCTTTTAGCTATTGATAATATTCTTTGAGATAGGATAATTCTTATTTGACTTGTTTAAAAAGACAGAATTTATTGAATTTTGTATTGATTAGAATCACAAAAAATTGAACTAAGAGAACAAAGGGGGGAACAAGTTTTGTTTTTTATTCGTTTAAATAAGACACCCTTTGATAAAATCAAGAAGAAAAACAAAAATAATTATAAAGACAAAAAAAAGTATTATATACAGTATAAGAATGTATATATGAAATAGAATTTCACATGAAAATGAAAGTAATATTTGTTTCTATAATTAATAATATACGAGTAATGCTCGAAGACAAAAGTAGAAAGATAATCTTCTACTTATTTTCATTGTTTATCAGTTTATTTTATCATTATCATCAATCGTATTTTTTTTGTTTTTACAAATCATTCATTCTCATTCGACTATCACTAGTTGTTTGTTGTAATGCACTGTTCGATTTAATGATTAATTCATTATCACTACCACCATTCAATGTATGTCGAGATTTAAGTACACTACGAAAATCAATTTGTTTCGTTTCATTTATTACTCGACGTTTTGATAATGTTTGTCCTGTACTTAAATCTTGACCAGTTTTACGGAGTAAAACATGAAATGCATATTTGGGTTGAGTTGACATCGATGATTCCTAGGGAAAAAAATGATTTTTTTTCATTTTAAGAATTATATTTAAGATCCTTTATTATTCTCTTAAGAAAAAAAGAATTAGGCTTAGATAGGATAAATTTCTGAATATGAAATTAATCCTAACAATCATCGTATTAATCTATTTTTATCAATTCATATAAATATAAAATTGAGTATTAAAGTTTTTCCAATCACGATCAATCGCCTTTCTTTTTTTTTTATTGCCGTTAACGATATTTTTTCTATACAATATCATTCTATTTTTAATTAGGATATCGGTTAAATATTATAATATAATTCTTTTCCGTAGTTTATCATGAAATTTTTAGAACGTATTAAACCCTATAATTATCTTCTCATAGGAAATGAGTCTTTTTTCCCCCTTTATATTGTATGCACTTTCAAGGCAAAGAATGTGCATGTTGTATGCGGGTGTAATTTAAAGAAGCACCGGAAATTATTTATCGGAAGAAAAGTGGTCATGGTTTTCTTTTAAATTTATCCACAGGCTACACAAAATAAAACTTTTATAGAAGTAATAAAGGAATTATTGATTCTCGAAATATTTTTAAAAGGAAATAATTCTCTATATTATTTTTGTTAGTATGCCTCTTTAATCCCTATGACGTTTAGAAAGTTCCTATTAGTTCACAAAAATAATTTACTCGTGTAATTGGTTTTAATGGTTGTTGATGTTGTTTAGGTGATGATAAAATATAACTTGGTATTATTGCTGGTGGTGTTTGTTTTTTTTGTAATAAAGGTTTATTATTATTATTTGAAATAAATGATGCAATACCACGAGGTTTTAAATAATTATTTCCGTTGAAATTTAATGGACGATTATTAAGAATACCTCCACCTCCGCCTAAATGTCCGAAACGTTTATAACCTGGTTGATGATTATTAAGATGTTGTTTTTGATATTCTTGTACAGCATCTAAAACAGTTACTGGTTTAGGACTACGAGTTTGGTCAATAGATAGAACTTGATGTGTTGTAGTGTTATTTGAAGATAAATGTTGAGTTTGAATAGGATTTTTTAATGGAATATGATGATGATGATGATAGTGATGTGAATTAGCTGATGCTGCTTCAGCACGAGCAAATATATCTCTAACTTGAGCAAATTTTGAGATCGATGATGATGATAATGGTGATGGAGATCGATTGGATTGATTTGTTATGATTGGTTGATGTCGAGATCGTGGTGATGATCTTGAAGCAAGAAATAAAGCAGGTGGTGGTGGTGGAAGTGGAATTGATGATGTTATCATTGATGGTTTTATTGATGTAGGTTCATGTGGTGGTGGTAGTGGCGGTGATGATATTATAAATGATGATGGTAATGGTAATGGTGGTGGTGGTGGAAATAAATATTGAGAAAATTTTTGTACATATTTATTATTATGAAAACTATTGATTGGTAGACAATCGATAGATTTAAATGGAGCACAATAATTTGTTTTAACAATTTTTGTAAAAAAATCATTACTAATTAATTCAATTTGTTGTAAAAAACAAAGTATTTGTGTACTAAGACGTTGTTGATAGAGAAAAAATGCTTTTCTTACAATAAAACCACGATAACATTTTTGAATTATCGTTGCTGCTATATCAAAATTCGATGGTGATATTAATTTTTTCTTATTTTTTCGTTTCATAATATAACGTTGTAAATAACCACGTAAACACGATTGAATACAAACGACAGCTTTTTCTTTTCTTATTTGTTCATCATCAGCATTTGACTAAAAAAAAGATACGAAAATTTTTCACGTGGAAATAAATTACATAATTAACAAACTCGAGAAAATTTCGGATGTCGATGGAGTTCTTGTATAATCATATCATTTGAATGTTTATATTGACGTTGTTTATAACGTGAACGTATAAAACGCATTCGAACATAGGATTGTATGGTTATTATAGCACGCATCATATCAGAATAAAGACGTGTTAATTGTTCAGCATGATAATATTTCAAAAATACTTTACTTTTACCTTAAAAAACAAAATATTACTAGTTCATAGGGAATTATTCTTTTATTATCTTTAGATTATTCCTGTTTCTCATAGATATAACTCAGAATGAAATTTCTTAAATACAAACCTGTAGTCCAATTCTGCATTTTTAATTTATGTAAAATATTTTCACATGTTTCACGTGTCAATGGTAAATCCACAGTAATTGGATAAGCAAGAATAGAATAACGTTGAATAAAATTTGCGAATGGTATTCGATGCGAAAATCCATACCGACGAATTTTAGCCGCTAGAATAATAACAAAAGAAAATTTCGTTCATTGTATTATTAAAAGAAAACTTTTTACCAGCTAATATTCCACTATATTTTAATTGTTCAAGAACAGTTGGTGCATCAAAACAGCCTGGTACACGATCATTATTTGGTTTAAAACAACGAACAAATTTCGGTGAACCATGAACCATTTTTGAAAAAAGATCAGTTAATGAATAACGAAAATAAGTACTGACTGTTGCTTGTACACGATTATGACTGGCATTTAATGGCATTAATGTATTATTTATATCGAAATTATTTGTTATAGGTTCAATGGATGATGAATTATAACGTTGATTATCATTTTCTTGTAATGTACCAGTTTTAGTTAAAGGTGATTGAAATAATGAACTAACAAGTTGAACATGTGATGAACGTAAAACTTGAATTATTTCTGGTGCTAAATAATCACGATTTTTTTCAAGAAAACCACGTGCATCATATTGAACTAGACCATTGAAATGCATTATGGAAAATGATGGAATCGATTGAAGTGTTGATGATGATGAAGATAATGAATGTTGAGAATTCGAAGAAAAACTTGATTTTGAACGAATATACAATGGTGAATTCGAATAATTTGCATTTAATTTATCTACTAATGTATAATCACTTGCTTTTGGAAAACGACTTTCCTCATCAATTAATGCTAATATACCAACCTAAATAAGAATATATAATTATAGTCAATGTCATAGGGGCGTTACGACGTGCCGAAAGCAGGGAGGGACATAGATCATATTTTTACGATTTACAACGTAAAACCCGAAAGCAAGAGGGCGTCACTTCCCCACGCCCATGAAATGTCGGCCAGTTATTCTATTTTTTAATAATTAATTATGAAACTATTGAACTTACTGGTTTATTAAGAAACATATCAAGTAATGGTCGATTATCATAAAATGTAAAATCCATTTTAGCTGGTAATGGTAAAACAGATAAATTTTCATTAATATATTCTTGTCTTTCACATGCAAAAACATGTTGATTAAAATAATATTGAATTTGTTCATTGGCTATATTAATACATAATTGTTCGAAAGTATTTGTTGAAAAATTTTCAAAACCAAATATATCTAAAATAGCTATTTTAAGTGCATCATAATTATTCGGTGTATTTTGTTCAGTAGAATTTTGATTATCGGAATGTATTGCTGTACCATTTATATGATTTTTTGTTAATATATCTTGTTTATTTGTTGAACGAATAGGTAATAATAATGGTGATGATGATGATGATTGTTTTGTATTAATACAAAGATTATTCGATGATTGATAATGTTTTTTAACATTATTTTCAACAGTTTTTTTTCTTAATGCTAAATTTGTTTCACTTGTTGCACGATTTGATAGATTAAAACGTGAATGATGTGATTGAATAATTTTATTTGAAAAAACATTATTATTTGTTTTTTGTTCACCTATTTTCACCCAATTTGAGGGTGATGATGATGCTGCAACAACTTTAGACCAACTTTCAATCAGATTTTTTATTGGTTTATCACTAGATGATGAAATATTATTATTGTTATTATTATTATTATTATTATTTAAATCATTAATTGAAACTGTTGATTGATGATTATTAACTGGATGATTTGTTGGTGATGGTACACTACTTGTATTATTATTATTATTTTTATTTAAAAATTCATCATCATCGTCATCAACATCAATATCTTCTGTTTCGTTTTGAATTATAAATGGAGGTGTCTGTATTATATCAAAACAATCAAATGTACGTTTCATTCCATACATAATTGTTTGCGGTGCGTATGATGTAATTATCATAGGATTTGAACAATTGTTTTCTTCTTCGTCTGCTTCATTTTCACTTTCATCATCTTGATTGCTATTATTATTATTATTGTTGGTATTATAATTTTGAACAGAATGTATACTTGATTCATCATCAGTCGTTGGATTTAAACTATCTTTTGTTGGCGCAAGAAGTGCTGATATTCGATTGACAATCCAAGAAAATAAACGATTATAAACTAAATTCAAAAAGTACGATTTCTATATATTCAAAGACAACTACAAATTTCATAGTTAAATTTTACCCAGGAATGAGAGATATGTAGGCTTGTAGAGAAAATTTTTCTCTATCGAATTCTGTTGAGTACCGTAAAAATCGATTTTTGGCTTGAATTTAAGCCAGTTAGAGACATGCATCCAGCTTTCTTTTGTATTCGTGAACCTCAAAATACATCAGGTTGTAGAGAAAACATCAGAGAACAAAACCTTCATCTCAAAAAAAATTTAATGTAAAAAATGAATTATAGGCTAAAGATTTAGTTGACTCCGATACAGGTTTCTAACTGGCTTGAATTCAACCCAAAAATCGATTTTTACGGTGCTCAACAGAATTGGATAGCATATACACTGTTCGATAGAGAAATTTTTTCTCTACAAACCTACATATCTCTCGTTCCTGGGTCAAAGATTTGATTTCGTAAAATAAAAAAAAAGAAAACATACGGATTCCACTTGCATGCAATAGTCTTATTTTTAAACTTACGAGCTTTAGCCATCGCATCTCTAGTTGATTGTGATTCTTGTAATGTTGTTGAACGTTGAATAGTTTCTCCACGTGTAACAATATTACATGTTGTTAATGCTAAATCAAATTCAGCAATATCAATACCAAATAATTCACAAACAATTTGAAGTAAATATCGATCAGTTAAACATGTTTTACCATCAATAAAATGTCCTTCATTTTGATGAAAACTTATATTACCTAAATGTAAAAGACCTGCTAATATTCTATATATAGATTTAACTTCATTTTGTTGAAAACCAATAATTTCAAAACATTTTTCAATTGTAGAAAATTTTGATTTAAAACTTTCAGATAAATCATGATCATCTTGTAAACCAGTTGTCAAATAATGATATGTTTGATTTGTTGATAAATAAAATGATTTTTCATCATTTGGCAATGATGATGCTAAACCATGAAATAAATAATAAAATATATGAAAATTTCTTTCGGCACGTCCTTGATTAACAACACGAGTTTTTTCTAATAAATATTCCGATAAACGTGCACCTGTAACACGTCCTTGTTTTGTAAATAACATTTCAAGATATTTTCCAAAACGTGATGAATTATCATTAATTATTGTTCGTGCATTACCAAAACCTTCGATTAATGGATTTATTTGAAGAATTTTTTCTTGTAAACTTTTATTTGGTGCATTACCAAGAAATGTTAATTGTTTAACAAGAAAATTAGCTGATTGAGTTTTACCTGAACCACTTTCACCTGATATAACAATATATTGATTTTCTAAATCATGTAACATAGCTTGATAAGTAAAATCGGCTAATGCATAAATATGTGGAGGTTGTTCACTTTTAACACTTGAACGATAACGCATCATTACATCTTTACCATAGATTTGTAATGAACGAAATGGATTAACAGCCTAATAGATAAGAATATTATATAAACAAAGAAATGGATGTGAATAAAAAAATGTTTTATCTAAGTTTCGTTTTTCGAATGGGCGGCGCCCATCCGCTGGATAAAACCCTAATTCTATGAGATAGATTAATGACTTACAACAAGTATATCACCAATATAAGTATAAATTTGATTAGCTAAAAATCGATCATACATATAAGTAATTATTGATTGCTCATCGAATGTTTCTAATTGTGCTAAATCATCAGTTGAAAATGAATTTATTTGTTGTTGTGGGTTTAATGGAGAATCATTTGTTATAGATGATGAATCAATTGCATAAGTTGAATCATATGTTGAATTATAAAAATTTGCATTGTTTAATTTTTTTGCTAAAGATGGATGACAAACAGGCATACCATCATTTATTGGTGGAGCAATAGGTTGTTTTTTTATTAACGGAGAATGATTTCCATTTTGCTAAAAAATAAAAGAAAATTTATTTTTATATTTTAATAAAATAGTTGTAATTTTACTTCATTTATTTGTTTTTGTTGTCGTTTTGATGGTGATTTTCGTTTAGTTTTATAACCTTGAGTTTGTTGTGGCGGTGGTTGTTGTTGTATTCGTGCATTTGCATCGTTCTGATAAAGTCCATTTTCAATAGCAAATGGTGGTGGAGGTGCTGCTCGTTTATGATTTTCTACAATCTGATGTGGTGGATTATATGGTTTTCCTATGACTTGTATAATTCGTTTTGGCGGTGGAACTAATGCTTCAGTCGTCGGTGAATAGGATGTTATAGCTGCTTTTGACGCATCAATAGCTGCTGATGAGCATGTTTCTGATTTACCTCGGATACGTCCATTTTTAACACCACATGTTTCACGAGATTTTTTACCAGATAAATCATAACATCGTTTATAACGATGAATAATTTGTATAATACGTCGACGAACTTCAATACCATCAGGTGGTATATGTGTTATAAATGGATGAACTAACATTTGTGCAACAGAAGGTCTTGCTTCAAAATCTTTTATTAAAGATTGACGAATAAAATCATTAAATTCATTTGACCAGTCTTGTGATTGACGTAAACAGGGTGGAGGATTTCGAGGAATAGATACAAGTGCACGCATTGGATGCATATCAGCAAGTGGAGGTTCACCTTAAAATAAAATAAAACAAAAGTTCGAATATATATTTATTAGAATATAATAGGTTTTACCTTCAGCTATTTCAATAGCAGTAATTCCTGTTGACCAAACATCAGCACGTGTATCATAATCATAATCCATTTGTCTTTCACAAGCAATGACTTCTGGTGCCATAAAAAATGGTGTACCAACAGAAGTATTACGTCTTCCATTATTTGGATTTAAATATGCGCTGACACCAAAATCAATTAATTTAATATGACCATCACCTGTTATTAATATATTATGACCTTTAACATCACGATGAATAACATTATTTGAATGAAGATGGTATAAAGCTTTCAATGTTTCACGTAGGATATAAGCAATAATTGCTTCATCAAGACGTTGATTTGCTTTTAACATTGCTTTTGCTAAATCAGTAACACTACCACTAGTACATAATTCCATAACTAACCATAGCTGATCAAGTGGTAATGGTAAAGATATTGAATTTGGACTGACAAGACTACTGATAGATTTAGTTTCAATTGAAAGAAGACTAGTTGTATCGATAGGTGCTAGTGGTGATGTAATTGGATTACGAGGTGGTGGTGGTGGAGGAGGTGGAGTACGTTTTAAATATGCACCATAGAAACGACAAATATTTTCATGATTAGAAAGTTCAAGAAGAACACGATGTTCTTGTTCAATTTCTTCAAGAACTTCATTAGTTGGATGCATAATTTTTACAGCAGCACTGAAATCTGGATTTCGAATATTTTTTGCCTAAATACAACAAAAAAAAGAATAGATTTCATATGTACATAAAAAATATGTTTCATTAATTTACACGAAATACTTCGCCATAAGTACCATCACCTATATTTTCTAGTAATTGCCATTCACGATCAGGTGATGGTAAATCATCAAGTCGAAAAAAATTATTATTATTATTATTATTGTTATTAATCTGTTGATTAGCTGCAATTAAAATTGATTGTGATTGATGTTGTTTAGATGATGGACGTGAATGAAGACGAGGTGGAATAGGTGGTACTGGTTCAGCTGATGATAAGGGTGGTGATAAGGGATGGTGATGATGATGAAGTAATTGCGGCATCTATAGTCCAAATAAAAAAAAGAATAAGATGAAGTTTTTTTGTCACTGACTATCAATCAAGAATAATATCAAAAAGAATTAGAAGTGATGGACATCGTCCTCTTCTCGTAAAGAGCAGTTAATGTCGTCTGTCTTTCTGTTTCTCTTTCTCTTTTTAATCCATTTGATCAACAAGGCCACGCCTAATTGATCAACAAATCATTAGCATACACACGTATCACCAATTAATTTCTCTTTACTATACACATATACATTGACTGAGACATCGCATAAGGATCGCCACTGTTTGTATCTTATTCTGTTGTCGTCGTCGTCGTCTATCATTCTTATACATATGTACGTCTATATATATATATGAACATCAATTTGATCAAATAGTATACATGTCGACAAAGACGAGTCGTGGAAGATTAGTAAAGCTTGACTTGTGACTTGCATAAAGTATATGCATACATACGAATATATATACATATGTATAACATAAGTGAAAGTCAATAGAAAAGCTAGTCTTTAATACATTCGTTCGTATACATATACGATCGAATACTGTTTACGAGAGCAAAAATAGGATAAAGACAATAATTAAAACTAATCTCTGATAATGATTAGTCAATTATTGATATTAGAGAACATGATGTCTTATAGTCACATTTGATATCATAATTACGCACATGACTTTTTTTCTTATAAAGTATTTAGATATAATCACGTTGTTTTTTTTCTATTAACAACGGATAGACATTGTCAACCAACATTGTTCAATAAAAGTAGTCTACGTTACATACTAGACAAAAACAACAACTATAGTTCTTACATTCATTTTCATTTATTTATTGAAAGAGTATCTAGGATTAGAAATACAACACAATGAACTAGAGACATTAAGAAAACTATCAAACAATTATTTCCCTCGAATATAAAGAAAAATATCCTATATTATGGAACTTATATCGAATAATCTTCGTATATTAATGAATGATATTCTTATGAGGAAACAATAATCAATAGAGAATTGAAAAGGTTGCACTTCCGTGAGATATAGCTAAAGTGTGAAAATAAAAATTAATATTTATTTACGCTCATTATAATATGAAATGATTTGAATCATATATATATTCGACGATAAGATCTAAAATTATACATTTTATACTGGCCAACGAAGAGTGTGATAAATAATGATCTAATAGTTGGTCCTTCGTTTTCGTTTTCGTTCTCGTTGTCTTCAACATATACTCATAAGTCATTCTGTTTATATATTGTTCATTAGTTATTCTTAATCTATTATCAATTGTTTTTATGTCTAAACTATTTCGTTTTCTTAAAAATATAGTTAAAAAATAAAATTGAATGTGTTGTTATGCATTAAAGTAAGATTTGCTGTTAATTAGTATTCTGTGATTTTCATTATAGAGAAAACTCGATACTCGATCTATTAAGAAATGACATTTCGTATGATAGATAATAAGTTTTGAATTACAAATGCAAGTTAACATACATTTATTTTGTTACTACATACACTTTTGAATGGCTGAAGTGTTTATGTATCGAATGAAATTTTTCATGTTTTCATAGTTAGTTATGATAATACTCTTGCGTTATATGAGATGTTTACTTTTGTGTTTATCTCGTCAATACATCATAGTTTCAATTTATGATTGATTATAACAGATTTATTAGTTCAATCGATTGTGATTTATCATATATTCATAATGAAATTTTTTTCATTCATTTATATTCTATGATGAAGTTTGTTGTAAAATAATTATAGTTTTCAGTAATATTCGAACGTAGAAGACATGTCAATGATAAACGAATACAAGATGATTATTACTTGTAGCGAATCATAATTATTGGTACGTGTAGAATGTTTTTTTTTGTAATAAAAATCTTGATGAACTTCATACTGATTTGTTTAAAAGATATTTCAATTTTTTATCTATCATATAGTAAAATTTATATTATTGAATATTTCAATATTTACAAAAGTTTTTTTTCTACTTTTTAAACTGAGTATTTAAATAAATAATGAGAAATATAAATCTAATAACAAATATTTGACATATATGATTTGTTATTTTTAGTACATACGATACGTTTTAATAAATATATGTATAAATCATTCAGTTAAAAAATGTATTCCATAGTATGAGCTTATCTTGATATATACTCAAACAATATATAATCGTTCATTGATTGGTAAAAACGCCCTCTATTGGGTACCCCGCTTATCAAGAAATATATGATCCATCCAACCTATACCTTTTAATATTACTATTGAAATTGCTCTTTCAAACAGAACAAACGAACGAGCAAGGCCATTAACATATAAAAAAAAGTGTACCCTGAAAGAAGTAATACATTTTCAAATATGATTGACTTTTTTGACAATATTTCAGATGTTTTTTAATGTCATCTCTTTGTTAACTGTTTGTATTGTGTCTCATACCTTAGGACAAATACTAGGTAAGTGATAAAAATGCTGATTATTTTGCTAAAATGCTTCATGCATGTTGTAATTGCTTTGAAATATTGTGATTTTTTTTCGTCACATAAAAAGATTGTCCGCATGGCTGGCAAGAATTTATTGGCACAGCTTCATGCTATCGTTTTATTCGTTTTCCAAAAGAAACCTATGACGGTGCTGCTGCTCGCTGTCCGGTTGGTTTGATAGATTTCGATTTTTTTTTATTCATCTTGCATATATATATGTTAATTCGATAGGCGGATCTTTTGAGTGTTGAATCCCTTTCTGAACATTTATTCATACAAGATTGGTTAAATGCAAATGATCCATCTGCACAACATTGGCTTACAAGTGGTAGACGTAATGGACCCTTTTGGCAATGGATAAAAAGAACTGGTATATTAAATTTTCAATTTAATCAAGGCTGGTTACCAAATACTGAAATAGAACAACAATTACGATCCTTTCTCTTTTATGCTTATCAAAGTAAAAGGATTTTTTATTTTTTTTTTGACTAATTATTTTATTTTATTCTGATAGGTAGTCAATGGGGTTGGTTACCACATGACGTAACATCAGCGGAAACTGTACCATATGTTTGTGAAGTACCTATTCGAGAGACATATGGTATTTTAGATAATTATAGAGGGATTGGTATGATTATTATTGAATTGAAATGTTTTATAGTAGTTTTAAAATCATTTAGAATATGGTCTTCCATCAAATATTGAACAACGTTTTGTTCCTCGTGCACCGAAATTTTATGAACAACCACGAGATCAAGAATTCGGACGAATAGATCAAATTACACTTGGTAGTGGAAGTACATTTGGTATTAGTAAATTATCTCTAGCTATTGTCGTTACATTAACATGTCGAGCTGATGCATATCCAGTTGCTGATTATTAGTATGTGAATAATAGGATCATTCAAAATGTAATGACCTATTTTATTTTAGTTGGTTTCGAATGACAACTGGTATTATATCTGAAGCTGTTTTCGTTAATTTAAATGATCCACGCTATTTTCAACATGGTGGTAATTTAATGGTAAAAAATATTTAAATTATTTTTTATACATGAGGAAATATTTATGTTTGTCTTATTTAGATTAATAATCCAGCAAATGAAGATAGTGGAACATATTTTTGTAAAGCAAGTAATATTTTTGGTACAGCTATTAGTAATCGAGTTTATTTACGTGAAATAAGTACGTATATATTAATATGAAAAATAAAAAATGAAAAATTGATATTTAGCATTGGGTCAGTTTGAAAAACGTGAACGACCAAAAGTAATTGCTGAAGGTCATCGTGATGCTATTATTGATTGTCTATATAAAAATACAAATACAGGAGATGTATATTATTTAGATTTCGTTTTTCTCTAAAAATTAATTCTGATTTTTTTTAAGCTTAATTATGCGTGGTTTAAAGGTGCAATCAATCAAAAAGTTCAACAATCAGCCGAACGTTTTATTTCTCGAAATGGAAATTTATATTTTTCTCGTGTAACTGATGGTGACTCAGGAAAATATTATTGTGCTGTTCAATCAGAAAATACTCGACTTCGTTATTTACCATCTCAAACAAGTGAAGGTACAGAATTAGATGTGCGTTCAACATTTGGACAAGAACGTAGTCCACGTATATTTCCTAATTTTCCACATGTTTTTCCTACAACACGTTTACCTAAATTGGGTGAAAATGCATCAATTGAATGTATTGCTGAAGGTTATCCTGTTCCAACTTATCAATGGTTTCGTGAAGATGAATCTGGAAATTTACTTCCATTACAATCAAAAGCTATTTTAATTAATTTTAATCGTGAATTAATTATACCTAATTTACAACAAGATGATCAGGGTTTATATCGTTGTGAAGCATCAAATACACGTTCAGTTGTTTCTCAATCTGTTTCATTACTTGTACAAATTGATCCTATTTTTGTTGTACCACTTGAAGATCAAATACTTGATGTTGGTTCTGTTTTACAATTGTATTGTGAAGCATATCCAAGTGAATTAGATCAATTACGTTATTCATGGTTTATAAATGGAACAGAAATATTTTGGGAACGTTTAACATTAGTACAACAACAACGATTAACAATAAATAATAATCTTTTAATGATTATGAATGTTCAACCATTTGATAATGGTATTTATCAATGTGCAGCAACAAATACACAAAATAATGTACAACGTTTTAGTGCAGCTGAAGTACGTGTTATTACATTAGCACCAACATTTGGTAAACATACAATGATATCAACATTAAGATCAACTGTTGGTGGTTTAGTCACAATTATTTGTCATCCGGAAGGTGCACCTCAACCACAAATACAATGGTTTAAAGATAATCTGCCAGTAAATCTTGGAACGAATGCACAAATTTTTCCTAATGGAAACTTAGTTTTTACAAATATACAATTAACAGATGCAGGTAAGAATACAATTCTTAAAAAAAAGAGCCATAAAATTAGATTCGATATAAGAAGAAAAATATGCGGTTTTTTTCAAAGCTATAAAACACCTCAAGTGAGTTTTATGACTATTGTAAATGTTGAGACTGATTATATAAGAATCGTTTTTATATGTGTGTATATATATATAAGGTAATTATACATGTATGGCAACAAACGTATATGGTATTGCACAACAAAGTACATATGTTTATGTAATGCCCGAAGGTACAACAATAATTTCAACACCAGGTGGGCGTGATGTTCTACTTAATCAAACGATAATAATACCATGTGATGCTCGATCAATGACTCAAATGGATTTAACATTCTATTGGCGTTTCAATAATGAAATTTTAACTATTGATAATAAACGTTTTCGACAAGATAATCCTGATCGTCCCGGTGATTTACGTATTGTACAAGCTCAATATAGTAATGCTGGTCGTTATACATGTGTAGCTCAAACAACAGTTGATGAACAAAGTTCATCTTATCAATTAAATGTCTTTGGACCACCAGGTCCATTAGCTGGTGTACGTTGTACACAACCATTTCAACGTCAAGTTACATTATCATGGATTGTTGGCAATGAACATGGTGCACCTATATTACATTATACAATTGAATCATTAACTAATCATCGTTCATGGTGGGTATGGCATGGAAATTATAGTATTCCATTACCAGCAAATAAATTTATTTCAATGACATTAACTGGTTTATCAGCATTTACAGATTATCGTTTTCGTATATTAGGAACAAATATGTATGGTTCCGGTGAATTATCTGAAATCTCTTCACCATGTGTTACACAACCAGATATTCCAGGTATGGCACCAGCACGATTAGGTGGTGGTGGTGGAAAAATAGGAGATTTAAGAGTTGTTTGGGATCCATTACCAATGGATTTCTGGAACGGACCTGATCTAACGTATCGAATTTATGTACAAAAACAAGGAGAAAATCGACAACAAATTTTTAACGTACTTGATCCACTTCGAAACTTCTTTATAACTCATCTGTAAGAATAAATTTGTTTTTTTCTATGAAAAATTAATGATATTTTTGTTTTTTTTCGTATAAAATAGTGCCGATAAAATGTATTTTTATCCATATAATGTTCGTATTTCTGCTGTAAATCTTCTTGGTGAAGGACCTGTGTCAGGTAATGTTACAATTCGTTCAGCTGAAGATCGTCCAGCACGTCAAGTTCTTAATGTTAAATGTAGTCCATATAATAGTACAGCAATGACTGTAACTTGGGATATGATTGATGAAAATGATTATGCTGTTTTACGTGGTCGTTTACTTGGTATTGTTAAATAAAACACTAAAAATATATTCTATATTTTGAATATTTTTAGGTTATAACGTTCGATATTGGCGTAAAGGTCTTGATGAACTTACAAATTATTGGGAACGTCGTTTTCCAGGTCAACGTTCTCGTGCTATTATAATTGGTCTTGAAGCAAATACGGAATATGCTGTTCGTGTTTCTGTTTATACACAATTTGGTGATAGTCCTGAAAGTAGTTATTTTACACATCGAACATTTCGTTTACCACCACTTCTTCCACCACAATATATATCTATCCGACAACCAACTCGAGAAAGAGATAAACGTGTTCAATTATTTAGTGATATTTATACGTATAAAATTGAAGTTGAATGGCGTGGTATATGGACATCAGCAGAAGAAGAACCGTTGGAAGGATATATGGTAAAAAGAATTGAATTGGTTTTCAGAAATAAAAAAAATTTTATTATTTAGGTTAAAGTTTGGGAACATTACCAATCAATTCGTAATGCAACAATTTATTATGTTGATGGTTCAAAATATAAATTAATTATTGATAATTTATTCAAAAATCGTAATTATAAACTACGTGTACAAGCATGGTCTCTTGGTGGTGAAGGAAAATATTCATCACCAGAAAAAGAATTTCGATTTGGTAGGGTTCAATCTTTAATTTTGTCTATTTTTTAAATTTATCTTTTTATTTTAGATGACCAAGGACGTCTATTGATACGTAAGTTTACTTTTTTTCTTATAGAAAAATTTTCATATTTTTATATTCTATAGTTTATAATCCTGATACAAGTTTACTCTATCATAATAATGCCTTTCATCCATATCCATCTTTCATCTTATTGTTTATTTTACTCAATTTGTACTATTTATAATGATAAAATAGATGTGTATATATTATTTGTTTGCTACTCTTTTGTTCCACTGCAATCAGATCTGAATTATATATATAAATATTTATGTGCTTTTTATGATCATCTTCTTATTTTAGACTATTTTCTTTTTGTTTTTGAAATGACAATTTCTTTCGTATTGTGATTATTTACTGTGTTCAATCTTTTTTTTTATATATATATTTGACAGTATAATTGTGTGAATCATTGTGATTTGATAGATTATTTCAAGTAGATGTTAAATGTAGATATATATTTTATAATGATAGCCATTTGTATGAAACATTTTTGGCTACATTTGTGCTACTTTTTGTTTTCGTTGAATAAATGTTACTTTTTCTACTTTGATACTATAGAATTTAAAGATTATTTATTTTTAAGTCATCATCAATTCTTTCAAAAATGAGAAGGTTTATATTAAATGTACTTTTATCAAGTAAATCTTTGTTTAATGCGAAGAAATATCTAAAAATTGCTATTGATCATTATGCGACTTTTGTTAGACAAACAGAAATAAGTGTTTAAAGTTCTTTATCAATTATTTACCTAAGTAATTCTGTTAGTTATTCATAATAAATTCCACTTATTCTTATGACTACATTTCGATTTAATGGTACCATATTTATGATTATTATCGATATTTTATAGAGAAATGAATACTTAGAAAGATTTTGTCTGCTGCTATATTTAAAGTTTAATCAACTACACGAACATACTGTGGTACTCAATTAGCACTTTAGACATTATTAATAGTTTTCAATAGATACGAACTGACTAACATAATGGTGAGAAATCTAATTAGCATAGTATATACTACGTGAACTTTAATAACGTCACTCACGTATTCATCAATGAAATTTGAGTAGCCATTTATATATGGCTGTTAATGGTGGAGACATGAATAAATTGAGTATAGATGATATTATTCAATTTTAGAAATCAAGATGTGATTTATCGTTCGAAAAATTATTAAATTCATAATCTAGTAAATCAGCCAAAGAATATATCATTTATAAATTGTTTAATGATACAAATATCAAGCACTATAACTTATTTGTCATTTTTCCAATAAAATATTTGCTATTAATAAGATATTTTTAATTTCTTTTCTTAATATTCGCTCGGACAATGTCTTTGTACAGAAAGTAAAACATAATTTTGTAATTTTAAACAATGGTACTTTTAATAGTAATCTTCATGTTTAATACTCAACAATTAGAAGTTGTTATGATTACAGACATATGATAGAAACAAACAATTATTTGCAACCACTGACAAGTTTTGCACTTGACAGATCCTGTTGTTGGATGAAAACAGATGAATATGTCTTTGCAGACAAGCCATAGCTACATCTTTGCTAAAAAATGGAAAAAATCGAATATAATAGAATCATGTAAAATACAATCTTACAGCTATATATTAATGAAATAAAAATTTAAGTGCAGAGATGAGTTTTCGAATGTTGATAAATACTTTTGGATTCATTTTATTTCTTGTATAATATAGTTAGTCATTGAAAAATTAGTGTAACGTTCATATTTATATTAAAAATAGATTATTTCAATACGTTATAATTAGAACAGTGTATGATATCTTATTTGTCATTAGATATACATCCCAATATATACAATAATACTTTATTTCTTTTATTTCACATCAGATATAAAATGTCAAACTAATTAGTTGCAATCAAATATAGAATGTTTTTGGAACATCTCTTCTTCAACATGATTATATCGTTTCTTTTTCATTTCAATAAATGACAATGCATTCAACCAATTTATATACCTGCTCACATATTACACTGAAATCCGACATAGACAGAAAGAAGAAAACGTCTGAAGTATATATATTCTTATTCCTTCTGTCACGACATCATTATTCATTCCATCACTGAAGACCTCTTATTTCTATAAGCTCCTTCCTTTCTCTTTTCTTTTTTATCTCATTTATTCTTCATCACTCACTTTCATTTGCAGAACAACTCTCCTAATCACTAGTTCAATCTTAATCTCAATACTAACAACAACAACAACAAATGCATAATCAATCTGAATCATCTCGTCTACATCAATATACAACAAAAACACATATTCGTGAACGACCATTACATTGGTGTATTATTTTAGGTTCACTTTTATTTGTTTTTCATCTTGTTGTTGAAGCAGTTGCATTTGTTATACTTGGTGCATGGCATTTGACCAGTCGACGTCTTCAAAATGTACTTAGCTTTTCTAGTGAAATTCATCGTCGGGAATTAGCTTTTGGTATTCTTCTTCTTATTATTGGAGCATTGGGTATAGTAATGAGTATTCTTGGTCTTATTGCATTTTTTACTTTGCGATTAGTATTATTAAGAATAGTAAATACAACAAAATAATTATTATTATCGATAAAGTATGTCTTTCTTGTTTATTTATTATAGTTTGCAGTATGTCTATGGTTGGTAATGATTATTGTAAGCGTTGTTGGTATTCTCGGCATCATATTTGCATGTAAGTGATAATTATTTTCATAATATTATTTGTTCTATGAAATTTTATAGCACAAGTAGATGGATTGGTGCGACAGTCAAGTGGTACAAATGAGAATACTGGAAGTGTAAGTATATAGATAATGTAATATATTAGTATGGAAAATTAAAACGTTAATGTTTAAATTTAGTATGCTGAACAAAAATTTATGCTGGGAATGAATGGTGGACTAGCTTTATTCATGAGCTTGACCTTGGTAAGTTGAAATAATATATGTGAATATGAAAGAATAAATGTTTTTTTCTCGTTTATTTGATTTGATAGCTTGTTGGCATAATAATTGTTCGATGCTTGACTGGTGATGCGAATTCAAATGATCATTCGTATTATCGAGCACAATGAAATATTTGTGAATAAAAAAGAGAAGAAAAAAATGGAATTTTAATGTTATTTTTTGTAATTAGAATATTTTGTTTTGTATGTAATAAAAGCAAAAAAAAATGTCCATGACATTCCTAAATCGGATTACATCATTGTACTGTATGTATGTTTGCATATGATAAGAACAAGAATAGATACGATGATTATTCTGTATAACATAATGGGTATCCATATACGGAAAATGTCAAACCTGTCAACACCTGATGATACATATAAAGCAAAAAAAAAAGGACGATCAAATAGAAATGTTTTGTATTATGTAATAAATATTTTACCCTATAAGTACGTATCCATTTATCTTGCGTCATTAGAACTCGAGTAATATGCCGTTAGTTTTACTGTTATTTTTATTAATCAGCTCCAACTTAATAACTTCCAATGAATCATCATCATTTGATTTATCATTAAATATAGACGGTATTGATAATGAATTTCGATTTGTTGAAGTACCAAAATCAACTAATAATTATCATCTACCATCTACAATTATACTCGATGATACTGAGAATCCTACACTTCTTAATTCATCAGACACAACACCTATTCAAAACTATCATGTAGAATCGGATGAGAATCTATTCGGTTTCGCTACTGTAGTTAATAATGACAATTCGAATTCGAACCAATTATATGCTATGATACAAACATCAGATGGATTATTTTATGATATCTCTCCACCGATGTCAATATCACAAATAAGAAGAAAACGAGCATTAAATTCTGCTTATATTGTTAGATCTCAAAATTCAATTATTGAACATGCATATGTTACTATTAAATGGAATAATAATAATAATCGTCAACGACGTGAAATCGATGAAACAGAAATGACAACTATTGATACACTTGTAAATGAAACACGGGTACCAGCATCTGAAAGTATGGGTACATCTACACTTCCATCAGTTTCTTTACCTGATACAATGGAAAATATAACAATACCTTCAGCTGAAAATGATACTGAAATAATAATGAATTTTACAACAACGACTACAACTCCAAGACCTATACCTGAAAAAACTCGTCATTTATATCTCGAAATAGTAGCTGTTATTGATAGTCTTATCACCAATGATCTTCGAGCATTATTAAATAAAACCGAATTAGAAACTATTGAAATACTTAAATTATATTATATTCATATTTTTATGGGTGTTGAACAACTCTATCGACAATCATTATTACATGAAACACTTGATGTTCATATACGTTTATCAAAAATTATTTTTGCTACTGATAAACATCGTCTTCCATGGGAATCATTTAAAAATATATCATCAATAACAAATGCTTATCGAAAATCACCTAATAATGTACATTTACGACCTAATATTAGTATGAATCTTCTTAAATCATTACATCATGCTTATATATCAGATAAATTTGATACACGATTTTTTAATAATGAAGCTGATCATGTTATAACATTTACACGTTTAGATCTTATTGATGGAGCTGGTTCAGCTTATGTTTTAGGTACATGTTTACCACAATATAAATATTCAATTGTTCAAGAAGATTTAAATGCATTTTCTGTTACAATAACAGTTACACATGAACTTGGTCATAATCTTGGTCTGGATCATGATGAAATTGAAAATCAATGTAATGATCCACGTTTTCGATATATAATGTCACCTAAAAATATGAATACAGTTGATCGTCGTCAATTACCATATTTTTCTGAATGTTCAATAGCACAATTAAATCATTTTGCTGATAATACAACAACAACATGTTGGAAAAATGAAATAATTAGTACAAGAAATGATACAAATTTAGAGAAAATACGAAATATTATATCAATGAATTTAGGACAAATAGTTAATGTTCATCAACAATGTCAATTACAATATGGACCAAAAGCACTTCCATTTGTTTCTGTTACATATAATAGTAAAAATTATTCATTATATGAAGAAAATATTTGTAATCAATTAAGATGTTTTAAAGCACCGGAAGATGATTATATGTATTGGCAAGATGGAGCATTTGATGGTTTGATCGAAATATTCTCTTTCAAAAAACTTATGTATTTTTATATTATAGGTACTTCATGTGGTGAAAATCATGTATGTTATCAAAAACAATGTATATCAACAAATGCAACAATGAACGAAAGTGATTTAGCTAATTGCCCGTATGGAGATTTATTTGTACCTATACCAATGTTAAATTTAATGGATAAATTTACATCGGGTAATATGCTTTGTGCAGATGCACTTGATTTATTAAAAACACGTGGTATGAATGTAACATATTTATGTTATGATTCAACATTACCTTTTCGTCGTCTTTGTTGTGAAGAATGTAAAAAGTAAATGTTCATTTAACTTAATATAATTCATATTAACTTTCTATTCTTTCAGACATTTAATACCTGAATGTGGTGATCTTCATACAAGATGTTCTATGTTTGCACAGTATTGTGAAATGAAATATATGAGCGTTAATGGTGTACCTGTTACTGAATTATGTCCATATACTTGTGGTCAATGTCCTCGTCAACCACCACCTCCTACAACGACGACGACTACTACTACTACAATATCAACGGTAATTTTATTTTTCATTGTAAAAATATCAGAGGTTCTACATTCCGCATATACTTAATCTAATAATCCATCTTTGAGTAAGATGTCCGCAATGTCCTTTCTTCTTCCTCTTCTTCTATATTTAGATACACTTCTAATCCTTCTCTTCCTTTCTTCTTGTATGCGTACTTCCAAATCAATATTAGTTTGTCGTTTTGTCACATGTTTTGCTTGTACACGTGATGTACTTTTTCAGTTTAACCCTAACTCCCACTCTCTTTTGTTATTATGTCTACGATTGTTACTAATACTATACAACGAACAAATATATCAGACATCATCATATTTAAGATATAGAAACTCTGAAATTGTTTGTGTTATAAACTAATATCATGGAAAGATTATATCTACGAGAATCAATTTTTAATCTGTCTAATTAATATTTTATTTAGACAACAAAAAAAGCGTCTGTAACAAAACCAGCAAGAAAACTTACTACCAAAAAGGCTAAATTAACCACACCAAAACCTCGAAAATATGTTAAAACTCAAACATTTGATAAATATACATGTATTGATTTAGCTGATTGTTCGAAATTAATTAAAGATTATTCAAAATTAAAAAAAAATGTTAAGAATTGGTGTACAGAATATTCTACTATGATTAATGATAAATATTTTGCTGAAATGTGTCCAAAATATTGTTCATTATGTAATATAACATCTGAATGTGATGAATATAAATTATGTCGAAACAATGGTACATGTATTAAGAATAAACATGATACATATCAATGTTTATGTTCAACATCAAAATTTTATTATGGTACATTATGTGAATATCGTCGAACATGTTTAGATAATCCTTGTAATACAAAAACTGAATATTGTTTTCAAACTCAAGGTGAAAATTATTTATGTTTATCCAAACAAGATAAAGAACAGATGCGTGTAATTTTAAATGAAAAAAAATTAATTTAATCGAATATTTCTTTTCTTTGTTTTTTTTGAAATAAAATTTATACAAGAAGAAATAAAAAGCTAAATAAAAGATATTGAATTATATAAATTGATCTTATTAAAGATGCTGAATTATATACTCTACGATGAGGTCTATTCAGTCCTAAATTAGTACCTAAATATTCTGTACGTGGAATTTTCCATTTTGGTGTTATATTTTTTGTACGATTTTTTGGTGCTGTTGTTGTATTTAAAGGTGGTGTTGTTAATGGTAAACATGATACAGTATAATTTGATGTTAATTCTTTAACAAGTGAAACAATAGGAAATTTTCCTTGATTACATAATTGACCAGCACTATCATCAAAATTAACAGGATATATAACAATACCACCAAGACGTTGTTCTTTAGCATAATTAATCTATTTAGAAAATTTAACTAAATGTTTCCACGAAATTCGTTTTATTTACTTTAAGTTCCATACTTTGAAGATCATCATAACCAATAACTTCATCACCTATCGACAAAAACAAAACTATTTTTTATGTATAATAATCTTTGAAAATATTAACCTTTGATCATAATTGGTACTTTACGATCATCGAGAAAAACCCGTTGCCAACCAGACATTGTATTACGACAGAGCTAATCAAATGAAAATATTTTAAAAAAATTTTATTTCGAAATTCTTTTACTTCTGTATAAGGTACACTGCCTACACTTGTAGCAGGACTACCAAGATCATGTAGATCACTAGTTAAACGAAATTTTTTTCCAAATGTTGGTAAACCAAGTAATAATTTCGATGGTTCAATACCCGTACTAATAATATATTTAATTGCTGAATCCTATCTCAAAATATTGTATGTAAAAAAGAATGGTAAATCTTAATGCAAACTTGATTTAAATCTTTATCATCATCTGTAGCACCTGCTGCTGGCATCAAAGCACTATGATGTTCTGCAATTTTGTCTCGTGAACCACGATAATCATATGTTTGAACATTAAGCCAATCTGCACATCTATATGAGCATAAATAAAATAATTGATAAAAATAAAAAAACACGAATTTCGATTCTAACTTTGCGAGTTCATCTAATTCAAAACGTGATTCAAGTTGTTTTTTTATTCCGGATATTGTTATCGTAAGTAATAAACGTGTTCGTCCTGTTCGACCAGCTTCTTCAGCATATTCTTCTTGCAGATCCTATTTGATTATATAAATAATTTCTAAATTAATTATATTAGATCTTACTTTACAAAGTACTGAAAATCTTTTTTTGTCTTCAATTAATTGTGGATTAGGTGTTGATGGTGGTCCTAAAGCTTCACTTGGTTCGAAATTTAAATCAATTCCATCGAATTCATGAGTTCGTAAAAGTTTTGTTGTTGAGATAACAAATTTTTGGCGGAATTCATCTTTGGACATCATTTCATTAGCTCGTCTTATAGCATAATCTTGTCCGCCAACAGCTAAGAAGACTTTTAAATCTGGATCTTTATTGGCTTTAAATTCTTTCAATGGATTATTCCATACACCTGTCAAAATTCATAATAAGTCAAATAATTCAGGAATAAAGAGATGTTTACTTACCAGTCAGTGTATTATCATCTTCAATGCGTGCAAATGTATATACAATATGCGTACAATTTTTTGCTTCAGGATGAATGCCAGTCCATGATGAAAAATAACATACTATTTTAAATTCTCCACCACAATCAGCATTTATGAATGATAAAAGTATGCTGAATATTATTAATTCTAAATTCATTGTCGTTTCGTTGACAATGAATAGATCAGTTGAAAAGTAAGAGAATATGAGAGTGTAGAGAAAACACTGTAATTGTCATCAAAATTTTTTGCATCCCACAGACAATACATAACGTTACGACGATCTTATGTCCGGTGTATTAAATAAATATAGGCTCAAACGATTAGTTCGTTTCTCTTTTCTTTTTATCGGGACAGCATGGTCACATCAATGTTACATTATTGACTAAGACTATCATTCTCGATTTTGTTTTTATTGAATAATCATACAAAAGAATTTATTCTATTTTGAAAACTATTGAAGTTAATCAACTAATAGATGTGTAAAGATACAAATAAGAATTTTGTATATGTCTTGTAGGTAGAAGAATCTCTGTATCGCATTATTTGTAATTCGATTGAAGTATTTTACTCTTGTCTGTCTGAGAAAACTTCTGGTTTATTTTTATTGAATCAAAGAGCGTTATGACTTAGTGTATTCAGAAAATACAATAGGTGCTAGATGACGGGTGTCATGTGAATAAGAAGAAAGAAAAACTATGTGAATATGATAGATGACCTTAATTTTCTTCAATCCGTGCACATTTTGAAAAGATCTAATATAATAAAGACGTGTCATTGTGACAATTTCTAAATTTTGGTGAAGAAATCGATTTCTGAATTAAACTATTATTTTTCCTAAAATAGAAATTTACATCAGGTAATCTTACAAAACTTCCATTCAGTTCAAGATTTATATATTTAATTATGCTTTTTTTTGTTTTGAACGTCTAGATAAGAGTAAGTTTTAATCAAAAACAGATGTTCATATTGGATTGTAATTGTGAGACAAGTGAGAATTTCTATCATGAGATCACCTTTTTTTAAAATTTTCTTTGATCTTATGTCTGACGCAATGTTCATAAAGAATAAATGAAATGGAAACTAAAAATAGTATTGAAACAAAACCTACGCATAAAAGTCAGGTTCCATTTACAACTAACCGGAAGTTTGTTTTTATTGTGATAATAAATCTAGCACAAAATTCATGGATGTCATAACTAGGCTATAAATAAGCTAAAAATTCAAGCGGAAACATATTATTCTAAATGAAAAATTTATTGTGAGACAAAGAGGTGTTAAAAGAGAACGGCTATAAGCTACAGACAATGGATTAAACCTGTTCATGAAGCTATATAATGTGTATTACATTATCAACAAGTATTTATCTCGGCTTACATCGTATCATCCACATGCATAAATTATTCTTTGATGCCAATGGCGATACTAATAAAGATATTTTTACACTAACAAGTTTTCCCTAAGGCAATTCGTGATTAATAGAGTTTTAGAAACCAAATAAAAGGAGGATATGAACATTTTCGCATTCAGAAGTAGCTTGCAATGTACTGAGAAGATAAGTACATAATTATCAATAAATCACAGGACGAATCTACATATCAATTGAATCTTTTTATATCTAAGGTAAGAAAAAAATAAAACAAAGCATCCGTTAACATGTTCTAAAAGATTATGATTAGCGTAACTTACTAAAATAAGCTACAGGAAAGACGTAAATGTTCTTCCCACATACAAGCGATTTTAATTCTTTTTGAAATACGTCATTTCGTCAGGAGATATATCTAAATAAAACTTTTATAAGTCTAATCCGAATGTGATGCGTTAATAAACATAGATTATCTACAGATTACTTACTAAATACTTTGTCACTGGTGTTACATAAGTCTTCAAAGTTATCTTCGAGTTTCTGTTCATATAAATTTAGTTTACTTTCCATCTTCGTTTTTTATTCGATATATATCTCAATAAATACAGCAATATTTTATTTCTTTCATTTCATATCAAAGGTTGAATGTCAAACTAATTAGTTACAATCAAATATAGAACCTTTTCGAACTTCTTCAGCATCTTGATTATGTCTTTTCTTTACTTCTTTCCGCTTCTTTTTTTTAATTTCAATAAAAAGCAAGTCATTCAACCGATGTCTACCTGCTCACATATTACACTAAAATCTGACATAAACAGAAAGAAAAAAAGGTCCAACAGTATATATATATTTTTTTCTCTTTTATTCCTTCTGTCACGACACCGTTATTCATTCTATCGCAGAATACCTCTCATTTCTGCCAACTCTTTTCTTTTTCTTTTTTCTCTTTTGTCTCATTCATTCTTCAGCACTTACTTTCATTTGCACAAGAATTCTCCTAATCACTAGTTCAATCTATTTTATTCACATTCAATCTTAGTCTCAATACTAGCAACAACAACAACAAATGCTTAATCAATCTGAATCATCTCGTCAATATCAATATACACCAAGAACACATGTTCGTGAACGACCATTACATTGGTGTATTATTTTAGTTTCACTTTTATTTGTATTTCTTCTTGTTGTTGAATCCGTCGCATTTATTGTACTTGGTGCATGGCATCTTACCGCTCGACATCTTCAAAATGTACTTAGCTTTTCTACTGAAGTTCATCAACGTGAATTAGCTTTTGGTATTCTTCTTGTTATTATTGGGTCAGTAGGTGTATTAATGAGTATTCTTGGTCTTATTGCATTTTTTACTTTACGATTACTATTATTAAGAACAGTAAATATAACAAAACAACAAGTATTATCGATATAGTATATATTATTTGTTTATTTATTATAGTTTGCATTATGTTTGTGGTTAGTAATGATTGTTGGAATTGCTGTTGGTATTCTTGGTATCATCTTTGCATGTAAGTGATAATCATTTTTATAATATTATTTGTTCTATGAAATTTTATAGCACAAGTAGATGGATTTATGACTCAAGCAGGTACTACAAATGCGAATAGTGGACGCGTAAGTATATAGATAATATGATATGTTAGTCTTAAATAAGTAAAATATTAATGTTTAAATTTAGTATGCTGAAGAAAAATTTATGTTGGGAATGAATGGTGGACTGGCTTTATTCATGAGCTTGACCTTGGTAAGTTGACATGATATATGAATATGAAAGAATAAATGCTTTTTTCTTTTTTTTGTTTGATTTGATAGCTTGTTGGCATAATAATTGTTCGATGCTTGACTGGTGATGTGAATTCATATTCAAGTGGTCATTCGTATTATCGAGCACAATGAAATTTTTGTATATATACCTACTCAAAAATGAAAGTAGAAAAAAAATTGTATTTAACATTACTCGATTATATCATCTTTATTATGTTTGGTCCATGTTTTTTTATTTGCATATGAAACATATGAGATGATTTGTATATCACATAGAGACAGCGCACATTCAATGTAGACATATTATGTGACGTTACCTGAAGCAAGTAAAAATTTGTTGTTAAATGTTTATTTTTGTGTTTGATACTATTTATATGTGAAGCAAGCAAATTCTTTCTGCTTAAACACTATATGTTGAATTATAAGCTCAATATTGTAAAATATAAATATGTATAATCGATCTTACTTAATTAAAGAAAACATTCATATTATATATGTGTTTCTGTGTAGTGTATGTTTTAAATACACAATAAATCTTAATAACATTATTTAGTAAATTTAAATCATTTAATTATATACTGAGTCGTATACATAAATTCTTGAAAAACGAACAGATCTTCATGATTTTTAGAAATAAATTTTGATGTTATTTACTTGAACACTAATAGAGTTTATTATGATTGTATATACGCAATATATTTAAATTGATTCATGCGTATATTTATTTGTCTTAACCAATGCCTTTAAACCATCTTTTTTTGACATTTCAGAATATTATATATTTATAACGATAATTACATGTTTGATTTAAAATATAATGATCATATAATTTATATTCATAGTAATTATTTAAGAGTGTAACTTTTTTATAAAAGAAATATTGAGTTGATAATCATACAATATCTTTTCTCGAACTTCAACCGATGATTATGTAAAAAAGTAAAAATGAATATCTTATTAAATAAAATGTATATGTTTATGTGATTTGGTTATATTTTTATCAAAATATTCAGAGTATATAATTATCATTCTGAAAATACAGTAAAAATTCTACTAATTAACACCTTCTAATTATGCACAGCTTTCGCTTCGACAGAGCGAGTTTTCCTGGAAATGCCTTTCTCTAACGTGAACATGATTTTTGAGTCCCTTATGCTATTATAACATCTCTAATATGAGCATGTTTTTTTGACATCATTCTCTTTTCTACGATCTATTTCTCTGGCATTTTAGTTAAGTGCTGAAAATATAACGTAAAGAATCACCTCATGACATAAACTTCTTACGCAAGAAAAAATACAATTAATTTATGATAGTAAAGATGGTAATGGCTTATCACAACCTAGTTGAGCTGAAAAATATAACATGTGACTTCGTTCTGTATCTTGAGAGTGGGTGTAAGGATATGTATGCTGATGAAGGTGAGCGTCTGGGTGAAGATCCGAGAGATTATCTGCATTTCATATTCACACGCTAACTCTCAGACATACTCATACCCACTCGCAAATGAAATGATAGTACCGACCTTACCTTTAAATTAGAAAACATACTAAAAATAAATATTAAATTAGAGTTTTTATAACTCAATATTATTATTAATTCATATTGTCATTTGCAAATTTTTCTACTTCTCAATGTATACATCGTCAGGAAACAACGGTTTTTTGTAGACTTTGTTTTTCTCATATTTTGATATAATTAAAACAAAATGAATTAGGCGTTACTGACTTTTAAACGTTCAAACCAATTAGCAAAAATAAATACATCACTTGATTTAGTTTAATAAAGTAGGTCAGTAAAAATAACCTGTTGAAAGAATTCTATTGTGACACAAAGAGCTATATTTGATTATGATTTATGACACATACATTGTTGTTATTTTATATAAATAATTCATGCTTTATTATTAACAATTTTATGAGAGTCAAAAACGTTTCGCGTCGTATTATACATAGTACAACACTTTCTTAATATTACGATCTTGCTTCAATTTCTTGATTCACTCTATTAGTCAATTCGGGAAGATCGTCTCTTTGTTTTAAAAATTCGATCCATTGTTGAAGTGAATATGTATGAAATAAATCAGTTGCAAAACGATGATCTTCAATTATACTATTTGTAGTTAATATTTCAATGTTCATAGTACATTGTACATTGATTAATTTTGATTTAGGATTACGAATGAGACGTCGTTCATCTTTCAATTCACGACGTGTACAAAAGTTTGCAAAACCCCATGAGAAATCATTTGATGGAAATATTCGTTGTAGAGTACACTGATTAGTAAATAGTTTAAGTGATGGTTTTGTAATAGTAATCATCGAAAGTGTATATGATCTTAATGTACATGGAGCACCATCAACTAATGTTAAATAAATGCCTAACTGAGTTGGATGAGATCTATCTATTTGTAGACGCCATGTGATATTCTTGTTAGTAGAATGAAATAATGGACCATAGAGCCAATCATTTTTCGATTTTTTTAATTGTTTATAATCGAACATACAATTAAATTCGAAATATTCAGTCATTGGTTGTGATTATTACTGATCTAAAATAAAACAATAAGAGATCAATGAAAATTATTTTATCGTCATAATAGAACACGCATTAAGTTACATTTGCTATTTATCACGTGTAAGTCTAACAAAAACGTCATTGTTCAATAAAAATTTTATGCAATAAATACTATTACGAAGAAAACTATCGATGATATTTATATAAACAACATTCTTTGAATCAGCAATTAGTAATTGCATCATTTTTTGTAAGAAAAAATATTTGCCGTTGAATTTTTTCGAGTAAACATATCAGTCTTTCTTTCTTTATTTGTGAAATATTTTATAACATATCATAGCATTAAAAATTTGTAAAAACTTATTCAACATAAAAATATTAACTTAATTATTTTGAATTAGTAACAAATAATCAACATGCATTTTCTTATTTATAGAAGTTGTAATACTAATGGTGAAATTCTTACTTGTGAACTTTATTGTTTATGACGTTTTCCACGCTAACCAAATCAACAACTTGAGTCATTATGAATTGCAAGCTTATTGGTAGCTATCATTGTCAATCGAGGAGAACTGATCAAAAAATAAAGAATATGCAATGTGCATGGTTGGTTATATATAGAACCCGATTTTTTTTATTTGTAGTGTTTATAGCAGTATGGCGAGAAATATAAGAATGTGGAGAAAAAACAGAACAGGAATATATGGAAGCCTAATGAAGTACAGCTGCAAGCAGTAGAACAGATGATTCATAACTCGATAAACAGTAATTTTGAATGCTTGCATACTCGTCATTAGACAGATTTCTTATCTATATATTATAAAAACATCATGAATCGTATATTTTGAAGAATATTGTAATTGATTGTTCTGCAGTAACGATTCCTTAGTAAGATATGTACGTGACTCAGATTATGAATAAAAGTTTACTCAAAACAAAGCTAGAACAGATTGTCTACGTTTTTAAGCAGATTATATTATCAGTCATAATAGATTCAGTTTGAAATGATCATGTCCAATGATGATCGTTATTCAAAAATTTGGTTTTGTAAAAAAATATTTTCAATAATAATAAATGAGTTCGACATAAATTGAAATTTTATGTATATATATCAACCAGTCCAAATCAATTTATCACAAAAAAATTGTTTTTTTTAAATATTCCTTTATGTTTTCCCTTAATTTCTGTCAACAAGAGAGAAAAACTCAACCAATTAAGTTTTCGACAAAAAAAAAATAGTGACCGAATAATAATAGAAGAAAATACACATATAATGAAAAAGAAAAGAAAACAGATATAGTGCAAATACAATAAAGAATAAGCTAGATATAAGTATCAACATTATAGTTCATTTCAAGAAATACAAAACAAAAAAGAAAATTCAAGATAAGAAAACCGCAACCATACATATAGATATATATACGTAAATATGATCAATCTTTTTTTAGGTTTGACTAGTAAATTAAATGATAATAAAATTAAAGTTCTATGTCAATTTTGAAGTAATAAATTTGTCGTATTATTGATGGCATATAATGCTTCTGAAATTGAATTTTCAGACTAAATAAAATTTGAAAAATTGGTTTTTGACAAATTCATCAATAGAAATAATACTTACAGAACATTTATTTTGTTCATTCGAATTAGTTATTGTCGACTGTTCAAAACTGTTAAGTTCACCTGGTGTTGATGATAATGTATTAGATTCAAGTAAATCTGGAAAACTACCAAATGATAAATCAGACATCTAAAGAAAAAGAGAAAATACACTATTTTTAATTTTGTTAATTGAATACTTACATTATCCGGCCAATCAAGGCGTAGTCGTGATGCATTGCTTTGTAACGCTGCATTAACAATGGTAGCTAGAAAAATAAAAAATTATTAATAACCTATGACAATAAGATAAATAATCATACTGCTCAAGGAAACAGAACTCATATTAGTGTTATCATTGAGAAGATCATCTAAAGTAGAAATACGATTAATTTATGAGTAAAAACGTTTCTTTTGAAAATATTACTTGGATTTTCACAATCATTAAGGAATAGATTATTCGATAATGTTGTCAAATCATGAGTATTATTTGTATTGAACATTAGACGTTGATTTGCAGCAGCTGTTTGTTGAGCATTTATATTCGCATCTAAATATAATGAATGTTTCTTTTTGATAAAATCAATATAATGATATTTACCAAGTAAAAATTGAATATTTGATGGACGAGTCGATTGATCACCATAACGTAATGGACGTCGGACCTATACAAAATAATTTTCTAATGAAATTTATTTTGTTTTTAAATATGATTTACTCGTTTATGACGATGTGATAAGAGATCATAATTATGTGCGGATGCAGCTTGTTCCGCAGCTAACGATTGAATCAGTGGATCATCAATAACACCATTATTACTACTAAAGATAATTGCAGATTGTTTTGGTTGAGGTGGTGGTGGTGGCGGTGGCAGTGGAGGAGGAATAGAAGTTGATTCAGAACCGTTCATCATTGGAAGTAACAATGTCAGCAAAGATGGAAGTTCAGTAGTTGTATTTGTTGACAATGTTGTTTGTGACATGGAAGAAGGTTGAGATTGTTCTAGCGGTATTGTTGCCGTATCAGCTGGCCAAGATAGAGTATCAAATATATCAGATTGTTCATCGATTTTTGGTAATGTAATGGATCTATTTGTAGATTTTAACAAATAATCTTATGAATATTCCTGATAAAATGTTAACTCACTTATTATGTAAATCTCCATCTAATAATTTATTCGTACTATTAGTTATATTACCTAAAATATAAAATATATTTTAAAACATCTTAGAATTTTGGATATTAAGATATTACCTTGCAACGAAGTTTGTACAGTCAATATATCATCATTCGAATTCATCATCATATCTTGTGATGGAATTGATTGTGGCATTTGTAATAACGCACAAATTTCTGCATTTGGTGAATTAGTTGCTTTTGTTGGTGGACGTCTTTGTTCTTTCGTATTAATTGGATGTTGATGAGAACAACATGAACAGAAACATTTTGATCGTGATGTTTGTTGTTTTTTTGTATTGATTTTTTTTGTTGTTTTCATTTCTAATTGCGATTGTCGATCAGCAATGGATGTTAAACATTGATTAGCCATTTGAATAACATAATGAAGAAAATTAGTTGATGATGAAGAATCATTCATGTTAGTTGTACGTGACAAATTATTAAAATCATATGTAAGTCGAAGTTCTTTTGGACGTTGAAGTAATTTTTGTAATTCACCGATAGTTAATGTTAGAAATGAAGAATTGAGTCGTGTCATACCCTGAGTTATATCTGTTAATGTAATCACTGAATTATTTGTTGATGTCGTAGGTGCTATTGTAGGAATTGGTATGGGCGCATTTGTATCTAATTCAATTTCATCTTCAGATGGAAACTAAAGAGAAAAAGTTTTTAAAATAAATTAATTCTATGAGAAATCTGTTTACTTCATCTGTAAAATCAAGAATATCAAAACGTTGTTTAAATAAATTAGCATTACTATCAGCTTCATCTTCTGTGCTATCAACAAGTGTAAATGTTGATCCATCATAATTATTTGTATTATTACAAACAGCTCGTTTAGCAGCCAATAAAATAGCTGTTCGTGCTAGATTTGATTTATTATTGATTGTAAGTGTTGATGTTGACGATGATACTGGTAGAGAAACTGGTGTTGCTGGTGCTGATGATGGAGACATAGATGAAATAGGAACACCTGTAGACTCGTTGGGTATTTCACTTTCAGATAAATTATTTCTTTTACGTATCAAAACTGTTTGTGAAGTTGAAGAAAGATCAACTAATGGTTCGGTTGAAGGTTCAGAATCTGATCGTGAACGAGATTGTTTATCTGTATTCGTAATCAATTGTTTTCTTGATGATGAAAGATCAAGTAAAGAAGTCGAATCAGTTGTTGTTGTTGGAGAATCAGTTGATGATGATGAAGATAGATAAGACCCATGAGGATATAAGACAAGTTGTTCCATTGATAAGTCATCTTTACATAACTAATTATAAGAAATAAAAAAGACATATATAAGCATCAATGGAATAATTGATTTCTATTTTATTCTCCGTGTGATGAACGTATCAGATAATATCGTCTCTTTTATAAGTGAATTGATATTTTATTCTATGAAACTTACAGCTTGTGCATGATTATTTAATTGCCAATATTGAGTTAATTTATCGATTAATTCAGATATAGTTGTCGTACGTGATAATAACACTTCAACATGAGGATATCGACATGATAAAGCAACACGCATGTAAGCATTAGGTGAAGCTGGACTTAATAAAACTTTGACATGTTTTGATAATGTACGATCAGTTTGTTTTGTTGAACCTAGAAGATTAAAAATTCAATCTCAAAATCATGTTCGTTTTCTTTTCTTGAAATAATCTAATTATATACCTAATGCATTCGCTGTTTTAGGTGGTTTTAATGCTTTACCAATAATTGATACATGTTCTCGTTGTCCTTTAACACGTAGAAATGCATTACCGTTACGAATAAGTTGATGTAAAACCGATATGGCTGGTTTTTTATCGAAGCCTATATATACATATAAGAAAAATCATATTTATTTTTAATAACTTACATTTAACTTTTGGTTTTAAACATAAATAAGCAAGAACAGAACGTAATTCAAGTGAATCTACATTACTTTTTTCTTCTGATAAAAATAAAAAATATTATTATTATATAAAGAGAAAACTAATATCAATGAAATAAACCTTCTGTAAATGTGCATAATTTTGAAACGGTACGAAATGAACGATAATAAAAACAACGTATCTGACCAAATGTACGTTTTTGTGCTTCAGGATTTACAAGACGACGTCGTGTATTGAAACATTGTCCAAGTGCTTCGAAGTTTTTACCATACTGAAATAGGAAAAAAGAAAAGTCATATGATATTAATAGATAATGATTTTAAATATACAATTCGAAGTGCACTGAAGAATTGTTTTTGTTCTTCCATTGTCCATTTCGTTTTATCCGGTAATTTGGGTGCGACCTCTTTGATTTTTTTAATTTTTGGTGCAGGAGGTTGAATTTGAAGAGCTAGAATAATTTTATACGAGTTAATTATAATAAAAAGAAATAATTATTTGATTTACTTGGACTTCGGTCACGTTTTGGTCGTTTAGTAATTTCTTTTGTACGAGATGCAATTGAATCTTCAACAACATTTTGTGTTGGTAATGGTGGTAGTGGTAGTGGAGGAGGTTCGACCTTAATATCTTCAGCAGTTTCATTCATGACATCTACGTACTGAAAAATAGGATAAAATGATCAACAGGAATAGTATTAATATTGATATGACCTTGTGGCATCGAGAAACAAGTAAGAGAGAGGTATGAACATAGTATGAGAGTGAACGGTCGACGACGGCGAAAAGAGAAAAGGAAGGAAATAGATCATCTGTCAAAATGCTTTACTCCCGTTTGTTTCCTTTCTCGGCCAGTCATAAACGAGCGCAACCATTCTTTTTTCTTTTCCTCCGCGCGAGCGAATATGCATCAATGAACGAAATTAAATTTTTAAGACGAATAAATATATAAATTCAATTGAGAAACCTTCATAGTTCAATATTCGATTTCCTTGAATATGATTATGTCAATACGTTATATTTACCTATGACAAAAAAAACCCCGTAAGTGTTCTTTGTTATTTATGTAATAGGATATAAGAAAAATAAATTTTTTTGTATTTCATTAAACTTAACAAAATTGACATTCTGATATCAATCTGTAAATATTTTATATTTCTTACTAATCCTAGTCACTTTATAGTTCTATGAAATAATTTTTGTATGACTAGCCATGTTTTACCATTCATTAATAATTATGATGGTATTCATTAAGACTTCGTATCTCTATGAATAATGAAAGTATATCGAGTATCGATATCGATAATAGTAAGATTGATAGATGTTTAAATTCTAAATCTAATAAATAATTGTCTTTGAAATTGTTTTTTAAGCGCAACTATCACCCACACCCTCGCACATTTACAATTGCTGAGTATTAGAAAAAAAACATTAGAAATGTAAAAAATATACTGATTTGTTATTGTCTATCTTACAGATACTTAAATCGGACCCTATTTAATCTATGTAAGATCGGTTTAACGAAGGATTACTTCGATATTGGATCTGTCATTTTACATTTGATGAAGTTGCCACGTTCTTTAACCTTTAGCTCGATAGAAAATGAATATTTGAATTAAATTTCAACTACATGAGTAATTTAATCACACAAAATTAAATGAAAATACTTCTGTAAGATTATGATAAAGCATTGAATTTGCATTCTTGTTTCCATCAGCTATAGTCGTACAGATGTGACATCTAGAATAGATAGTATATGTTATGAAGATAATGTTTTCGATATATACTTAAAAACCATCGTTGATCGTACAAGATAAGTTCAGTTACTGATACATTCGCTTCTAAATGTAGTTGAGAGGAATTATACTGCCGTCATCGAACTATTCAGTTTATATCAATCAATGATTTTAATATATTCATTAGTCGTTTTTAGTCTTCTTTGTACTATATATGTACTTATGACTTCCATCTGTGATTTCAATTGACATGAGTACCCTCAATATCGTAACTATATTGCATAGATTGGGACAAGTAATCGTACTTCATATTTACTTTTACAATAATTTCAAATATATTTAGAGATGAAAATCTTTAAATATTAAAACAATAAATCTTAATAGGATCACCTATCAATAGATAAAAGTTAATTGGCTTTTTCGTACGTTCTATAATTACTAAAACACTATTGTATAATTTTGAAAGAAACGATATTATTATTCCTACACATGTTTCTATGCAAAACGGAGTGTCTGTAGATAAAGAAATAGTTCAACAATAATTATATCAAGTATTTAATATGTAAATTATTCTATTTGTCATAGAATATAAACAAATGTCTATGACTTAGAAACTATGTATTTCTTATCGAATGAAAAAAAGCATACTCTTCAGTCAACGATATTTATTTCTGTCAAATATTATTAGATTAACTAGATAAAATAGAGAATTGGATATTTAACTATGTTGAGATCAACAGAACCCTGTATTCACTATTTTTGTCATATGTGGATCGATTATTCTTTTCTGTTTTTAAACAAGATAACATAACAAATAAACTGATAAAGAAAAAGTTCTTTTTCATAATATCTGGCAAGTTTGACAGCACTGAAATTTCACATGATAATTTTTTTCTCGATTGAATTTGATGATGATTCGACTCTTCATCGACCACTAAAATAAAACAATATTATAAAATATAGATAATCATGAATTAACTTACATTATATCAGGATCAGCATCTTGTGAAAATGGATAACGTTTAACGTGTCTTGCTGCTAACATTGCTGGTAATTGTTCAATACTTATTGGTCCATGAACAGGTCCGAATTCTGGTGAAGCTTCGGCCTGTCGAATTTCTCTATCTCCATCATATTGATAACTATCATCCTTGTAAAAATGTTTATATAATGTATCAACGAATTGCCATTGTCGAATATCAAGACTACGTCTTGAACGGTCATCATATTTCCTATAATAAAAAGAGATCATATACACACACTGTAGAATAATAAAAAAAGAAATCATTCTTTGTTTTTTTTTCATACCTAATATATTGTTGAATTGGATTGGAATCAATCATAATGAAACATAAAACCAAGACAATGAGTCTTTGAATGATCATTTTAAATGAATAACAATCTAAAAAAGCGAATACCTATATAAATGAAAGCATAGTTGTGTATATAAAAAAAAACATTCTTCCTATATTTTTATACTTTCGCCTACTATCATTCCCATTCTAACAACACTCTGTATGCATGACAGCTACAACTGATCATCGAACATTGCACTTGTATATACTTTCTTTTCCTTTCAATGTACTTTTTTTTCTTATCTCATCCATACTTAAGTTATTTATTTCGAAGTACCATTATTACAAATATAGAATATCAAATATCTCAAAATAACGTTTCAGCATAGACAATATCGAAGAAAACAAACAACTTCATGTATATATCGTAGTTGAATTATTCTTATCAATCATCAAAATAAATACACGAAGAAAATATGTTTATGATAAGAACATAAATAGTTTTACATTATAAATATATAGATGTACTTATTTTTGAGTACTCAATGATACTGAATCATTTCATTCGTCATTTGCATATTTTAGTTGTCATTGTTTATAAATTCGAACAATCTAGTTTTTAAATTGAAGTCATACACCGTAGTGTGTTACACAAAATATTACAAAAAGATACTCTATCTTTACGCTGTGTTATGTAAAGATATATGAGATGAAATAGAAACCGTCGCTTCAAAAATCTTATCGTTAGAAATTTAACTCAATCGGATTTATTATCTTCATTGCTTACGCACGAAAACAAGTTTAAAACAGATATTAAATCTCTTATACCATTTAGCTAATAAAACGTTTGATCAAAAGATTATTACATTGTTGTTTCGTTGTTCCTGAACATATCAATATATAAGGAAAATGGATTGCACATAGGACTTTTTGAACTATATTCACTGGGTACTACAAAGATCTTCCATTATAGATTATAAAACAATAATAAGATGAAACATAGTTCTTATCTGTCTATTATGTATATTATTCTGCAGACTGATGCTGTGTGATCCCATCAATCTATCCATATTCTTTGCTAAACATATTAAACGATATTTACTGTATGGCAGGCTTCTTTTCAGCAGACAAAGTCTGGGTATCGGTTAAAATCTTTGCTTACGGCAATGGGAAATGGGAATCGAGAAAAATTGTTCCCACAGAATATTAAGATAAATACATAAGCTTTGTTGATAAGACGTAGCTGATTATTTAATAGTCTGGACTTAAACACTATATACTAAATCTTATTTATTATTCAAAGATTTGAAAAATATTTACATTATTCCCATATTGAATCAAATCACATGCTGCTAGTTGTATTTGTCTTTTTCTTATCTATACTCTCGTGATACGTTTTCTTTCTTTTCATCTGCTATCATTTCAACTGATCCGAAAATGTCATATTTTAATTGAGAATCATCTTATTATTTAAATACATTTATAAAGAATACTCACCATGTGAAATAACTTATAACTAATGACATTATTATTGTTATGCAACAATTTTTGAATAGATTCTAAGAGATTTTATATACAGCATCGCAGTAATACATGAATTATCTAATTATCGATAAGATTATTCATACAGACAAGTCTAGATTTTATTTATTCAACATTGATTACTATCTATATTTCTATTTTGCACAAATAGGGCTATCATAATCTTTAATTATCTCAACATGTAAATCATTGATACAATACTTCTTCCAAATATAGAATGTTAATTCAATGCAATAATGAAGTATTCTTTCGTCTAAATGGAATAAATAGTCATTTCTGTATTTACTAATTTATACAATTTTTATTAGTTATAACCCAAGGGAAACGAACTCATTTCCTTATTTATAATGATTACTACGATTTCTGTTGATTTATATCAATAGTAATCCGTTTTTATTTATTCATCATAAATCAATAGAAAAACTTAGACATTAAGAATTAAATCAGAAATATTATTTTTAATACGTTATTATAATTTGTAATTATAGAAATCAATTAATAGAAGATGATTGTTACAGATCTTTCTTTTTATTTACTAATTAAAATTCATAAGTCAACATTTATTTACAAATAACAAAAGTCACAACTGTACAAATATATATAAGAAATATAACACACTTTGTAAGCTAAAGAAATGTCACACTGTTAGGTAAACAAAGAAAAAGATAGTATTCGTTGATTTTTGTTTCTTGCTTGATAATAGTAATAATTAATTATTTGTTATTATTTTCAATTTTCTATTGATTACTAACGTTATTAAATAACCATTTTTAAGATCTAAATAAGATAACAAGGGACTATCTTCATATCTCAATAGTAAGATACTAGCACAGTAGGAATCGCATTAAAATAACAAAAACAAAGCATAGATTAACAACGATGTATATCATTTCGTTATTAGTGATGAGAGATTTTCATGATAATCGTTTTAAAATAATTAATTTCTATTATACTTAGTCGAAATAAAGTTTTCTCCTCTTTAAATTATTCAAATATAGATCAAAGCATTAATAAATTGTATATATATTATATAAATAATATTCTTTTCGTATTTCTCGATAATAATTGATGATGTTTTGAAAGAATTCTCTTTGAAGTTTGAATAAGATATTAAAGAGCAATTTAATATCTAGGTACAGTAAGTCTATAGAAAACTTCTTTTAGATTTTTCAAAAACTAATTTTTTTCGTTATAATGTCATAAAATTATGTATATAAATTGTATGATCTTTGTAACTGTTTTGATATTATACAGATTTACATCATCTGTTTCTTGACATTTCAAGTTTCTGTTTTGACGTTAAAAAATAATCAGTTATTATTATTACTTCGCTGATACATCGATATTGAATGTGAACATCTATTATTAATAGGCAACAATTTATTTACTAGGTAAAATTAAAGTTTCTTAGTAAAAAACCTAATTGCTAAGTTTGAATATTAATTTTCGAGTAAATTATTTTTTCACTATGTTAATAAATTAAAATCATAGTAATCAACTACATTTGATCGGTAAAAAATTTCATTAATAAGTAATTCTCAAATATCAAATCAAAGCTTCTATACTTCTATGATAACGTCTATATTTTCTCTTTCATTCTTTAGTCAGGAGTGGCTATGTACACTTGTTCTTCTCGTATATTCAGGTACTACTTTTTTCCTTCTATTTACTATATGAACTATAGATAACCAGTGGTATTTTCTCGATTGTTCCTTCTCATCGATCACATTCCAGAGAATTCTTTTTCTTCAGCGTTTCAATATATAAATACGAATCGGTAAAATTGTACTTTCGATTTACAAGCAATGGCTGATTCTATATCGACACAACAATATGAAAGTTCATTTTGAGGGTATAAGTGTGGATGAGAAGAATACACTCACCCATACCCTCAAGTTTATACTCAGCATTTATTTAAAATCATTTTGCATTTTAATATGAAGTACAAGAATTAAATTTAAACAAAACTGAAGTAGTATACTTAGTGATCGAATGGATTGTCTTGTGTACTTTAGTTTAAAAGTATAAACTATTTTCTTTCAATATAAATCATATAATTATAGATAGAAAGATGTTAGAAATAAAATAACTGATATTGCCTTTATAATAATTCATCTTGTCTCGACCTCTAAATTTTTCTAGGTCTGAGTATTTTAATATTTTGATGTGAAAATAAACGGAGGAACAAAAAACGAAATAGAACAACTTGAACTGCAAAGAGAAAAATTAGAAAAAAAAAAGGAATTTGTTCAATCGATAGACGAAGAACACGTACATTAGTTGTTGCAAAGAAGAAAAATAAAGAAAGACAGACAATTGTAGAAGAAATAGAGAAACACTGCACAGATGAACACCTGATAGCGCGCGGCTGCTGGACGCATATCTGAGTGAAGGATATAGATCGTACATGAGTGGCATATTGCAGTGCGCCAAATAAAATGCAACGAAGAAGAAGAAGAAGAAAAAGAAAAACTCAAAGTCAAACAATTACAGTATAGAAAAAAAAAGCCGAATTCTGAAGAAACTGTTCTATTTAATGCACAAAAAAAGATATAAGAGAAGAGTTTTGTTTTTTTTTTAATTGATTTTAACGCCATATATGTTCAGACGGGTTAACTAGAATGTGTATGTGTGTGAGTGTGTTTCGTACAGACTATTCGAGAAAATAGAGAAAGAAACGAACAATAATGACAATACTCACACAGATACAGACATTTTTTTTGCTAATGACTATAAAGCAGTGAAAATATGCGTATTTAAATACGCACTTTTGGAATATGCACGAATTGTTGAATACACACAAACTCACATACACAAGAAATAGATGAAAAAGAGAAGAAAGAGAAAACATAGACAAAAAGAAAAAAGAAGTTTTTGAAAAATTCGTCTAAGATTAATAGAAATAGAAGTTTTCATGCATACACACACATATATAGACTAATAATAGGTTTCTTGTTCAACCCAACCGCCTGGATTTCGACGAATAATATATTTTCGTACTTCGTCATAAATAAAAATCGCGATTGAAAATGGTATTGCTGGTAACCACCAACGAAATCTAAATATTAAATAAAAATTTATTTGATTGCATAAATCTGCTTTAATTAAAAAAGGATATTCATATTTTTTTTCTATCATTATCTGTTTTTTCTAATCAAACCGTAACGTAAATATTCATATTTTAATCATAAATCACTTTTTTTTATCATATTCTATGAAGGCTATATGACAGCTTGTTATTCATAAAATTACCAATAATCATGACATCAAGGTAAAAAAGCATCTATCCTACGATATTTTTTTCTTTTCACTTGCTTATTCAGTAATGAAAACTATATACTTACTTAAGTGGATACATATTTAAACCCTTATCAAGATAAGGTGTATAGCAAAGAGCGGCAGCAAGAACCGTTTCAAAAACTAAACCAAAGTTAAGCATCCAGTTTCTATAAAAAAAACAAAGAAACATATAAAGATTATGTATATATATTAAAATAAAAATGATA